TCCCAGGCAGATCACCTCTCTGTTCGATGACGTAGTTCTTCTATCCAGGAGACACATTAAGCCATGTATTGGCTTTTCAAGGTCCAGGTATTTCAAGATACGTACCAAGCCCTTGTCCTGTGGTTGGCACTATGCCGAGCTCTATGGATACAGCGACAACCAAGATGCCCCTCCATTTCTGCATCAAAGAAAGCATTCAGAATTGTGCTCAGTGCTTGGAGGGGTGGGGGCTGCACAGAAATGGGGGGCGCGGAGAGATGGGGGTGCTGAGACACGGGAAGAGACTTCTCTCTGCCAGCCATGCTTAGCCTGAGATGTGAGGATGGAGAAAGGTTACCCGACTGAAGAGAGGTCACGTTCATTTAAGCAGGGGGGAACAGGTCTCGGTAGGCCTCTTGCCATGTAACACCCCTCTGGGTAACCGGGGGCTGTGACCTCAGGGGCATCCAAACCAAGTTTAAGGTTATTTACACCTTAAGGTGCTAGTCAGAAAGTCAGAGGCATTCGTGAAGTTTCTGGAGGGACAGAGGCACGGGTGACAATCCCACATCTACCTGTTGGGAGCGTGGCCTGGAGTCCAATTTTCCGTTCCCCTTGGTGGCTCCTTTCCTTTCCTGGGGTGGCGGATGGGGTTTCCCGTGAGGCCAGGCCCATTTGGGAAGGGTGTGTGCTGTTGGGAACTGGGTAACGTGGCCTCTGGGATCAGAACCCGTCCCAGGACAAGGTGAGTGCGGGTGTGTGTGAGCACCTCCGGGGCAGGAAGCAGGTCTGGCTCCAGCCCAGGAAAGCTGTCAGCAGCGGTAAAGACGGTGAAGATGTCTCCAGGGCGGTGAGAAAGCTGGCTGGGGCCCCGGGGCAGGTGGTGGGGGCGTGGGGGGGGGGGTGGCCAGATTTCCATCTGAGCTGGGCCCTCAGACTCGCTCTCACCTTCAGGAGATGCAAGATGTCTGAGCAGCTCACTATGCTCCACTTGTACTCAATTTAACATGATTTCACTTCCGGGTTTTTATCAAAATCCTCACAAGTTTTTGTCTCTTTAATCCAAAACTAATCACTCTGGGATAAAATCCAGTCCAATTCAAGCCCAAATCAATTCATCTTTGTTAAATCAACTTCGCTGGTTCTCAGACACTGAATAAATACTTTTAATTCCATTTTTCTGTTAGTCACTCCAGGGGAAGGGTAATGGATCAAATTTATAGGCCATTCAAAACTAATTGTTACACGGCTCTTTTGTAAAGAACTTGAGATTTCTAAGCATTTTAGTGATGTTGAATACTATAAAGAAAAAATCCATACAGCTCTAGTTTTCTTTCCCTTAATACTTACACCATTACTCTGACCTTTTCAAAGTTCCTGGGGCGCATGATGCTCATGTATTTTGGCTCAAGAATCCACCATCTGGGAAACTAATTATGCACGGACATCTTCCCCGAAGGACAGACCATATGTATGTGCTCTTCTAGGACTTAAATACGAACATGTGTTTTACAACTAATTCTAAATTGTCTATGGTTTCTTCAGGTTAAATTGTAGCCATTCGTATTTTAGTTGTGACTCTGGGTAAAGCAAAGGGAACAGAGGCCTTGAAGATTTCATTTCTCCCCTTCGGATACGCTACTTAAGATCACTTCTACTTTTTGAAATTACTGAGGTTTCGCTCAACCAATGACAGTATTTCCAAATTCGGTGCCTTGAAATTAAACTGATTTTGCCATATTCCCAGAATCTCCAGAAATGTTTAGGTTGTCTTCAGAGTTAAAAAAAAAATTAAAAACCATACTTTTAGGACCAGTATTTTTTGTTTCATGATGTTGGATTCCCACTTTTTATTTTTATACTAACTTCCCTGGGACACGGAATATAGATTTAGTGGAACATATGGAAGATTATGTCAAGGGCATACCAAAATATTAAAATGTTAAAAATTTAGTTAGAGCTCTGTGTGACTGCTTCATAAACCAGTGTAATTCTTTTGGGAATTAATAAAAGTATTAACTTTTTCCTAAGTGTTTAAAACAGGAGAAAAAAACAAAACAGCAATGTCCAAATCCGTCAGTGTAAGTTGTAAGAAAATATATTTATTTTTCCATGACAATACTATGATAAAATTGTTAAATACATGCATTTTAAAAACAAACATAAGTAACATCTTTAGAGTTAACAGCCAAGCATACTAGTTTTATGTTTAAGGTGTCTTAGTAATAGGTTACTTATATTCTATGTTCTTGATATAATCATGTTCTCCAAAAGATATGGAAACTAAATTCTGAAATTATACGAGGATATGAAATACTCAAATTTTTCCTTCTAACACCAACATAATCTCCCAAGTTTTCACAAGGTAGAAAATACTTCAGTTGTCATCTCTGTTAAGTGGAGTTATTTTATTCCGTTAAACTCGAAATTCTGTGAATCACACCAATATATAGTTTGGTGCCTCTACCTGTGTATTTAAAGGTTTCCTTATACAAATAAGCATGATTTTAGGTATAGAACATCACAGAGGAGAATTCGGGTTAAAAAAAAAAAAAGTCTAGTGGTAACATTTCAAGAAATGAAAATGGGACCGGTTTTGGATGTGCGGCTTCTCCTTATCTTTCAGCTACATTTGCACACACCTGACCAAACAAAAGTTAGTAAACAGTTACTAGTATTTATAAAAAAAAAAAAAAATTGAAAATATTTAACATGTAACAACTCCTTTAAAAAGACACTCATTCTACAGACAACCTTATAAAAGACAAAACTTCTATCTGTTCACAGTATGTGTATTTTGTAAACAGTTAATTCACTATAATGCAATTGTGAGAGTAAAAAAATGGCGATTTCTAAACATGAAGACGACCTCTGACTTAGGGCTGACTAATGAGAGAGAAGAGAAGGCAACACGTCCCTTTGGGATAGTTGGGTATTTTTCAATGATTTTCAACCTTTGGATACTTTTAAGGTGGTACCATCTCAAATTTCGGATGTCTTTCTATCCAGGCCAATCTTTTTCAAGCAATTTTAAACTGAAATTTATTTAAGAAAAAGCCATGCTCCTTTTTTGAGAAAATAATAGGGAAGCACAAATGCCAAGGTAGGCTAGAATACCTACTCTTTCCCAACAACAGAGTAAGGGTTTCTTACTGTGTGTTGTCTTCAACTATTCATAACATATTCACCTTTCTCCAAAACATTATGTTGGGAGGAAAAAATTAAATAGAAGGGTGTATCATAAATAATGGGAAAAAGTTTTGGAATCCAACGGGGGGGCCAAGTATTTGAAACTTTTTTTTTTTAATGAAAATCATTATCAAATCATTATCAAATCAGTAACAAAATATTGTTGTCTATGATCAATTTGTTAGGTTTAACAGTATTTTGGCAATTGATCATATCAACCAACCCATGTTTCAAAGCAAATTGTATTACCACCTAGAAATATTTCTGAAACGGAATGTTTAGGAGGCACAGTAAGTTCAGAAATTAAAATTACCTACTTTTAAAATGGAATATTCTGAAGGGAAGTATATTTTCAATGTGTAAGGAAATTCTAAACATTTAAATAAGCCATTCAACCAAGTATACGAAGTATTTTTGGCTTAAGGGCAACATAAGGTCTGCTGCTGTTTGGGTTTTTAAAGTTCTGGTTAGTTATTACAAAGGAAATCTTAAGGAAATACAGTAAGTGTAATACAAATTAATTTCCTTATCAGTGAAATATTAATTTTCCCCATCACATCTCTGAGTTTTTAAGGTAGTCAGTTATAGCAATCAAAAAGTAATATAAATTATTACTGTTTTGTATTTGGTTAATATTTAATCAGGGATAGCTTACTTGAGAGATTTTGAAGGTTTCTGTAGTTCAGCTAGGCACCTGTAATGAAGACATGCAGAAGGCTTCCCTCTTAAAACGCTACTTTTAATTTTCATAAAAATGTTGCACAGTTAGAATTTATCTTCCATAGGTAAATTTAAATTCTGTCTGTAACTTGGACACTTATAATCCAAAATAATAACTTTCTTAATACAGGGAGAAACAAGCACTAATCATGGTTAAGAATAACAGACACCTGTCATAACTCAGTATCGTAATTTTGAGAATTTGAATATATTTAGATCAAATCACAGCCTGTGGAATTTTACCACACACAATAAAGCCTGCACTATCAGTTAACTGAATGTTCTTAATCCTCCATACAGGCACTAAAAATAGCTCATTCGTATTGTACTGGCATGAATGCGACCATGTAATAGTTAAGACAAAGGCACAAATTGAAAAATCTCACCACCCTGTCGGAATAAGAGGTTTAAATATTAATAGCCTTGGTACATAATCCACAAAGACCTAAACGGACCAAATTTAAACCCAGTGATTTCCAATGACACTCTAAGGTCTTGTCTAAAGGATGCATTTCCAGTAAGTTTAGAAAATCATTTTCTTCTATGAAAAATTTTCTTCTGGATCTGAAAGGTAGGACGGGCGTTGGTACCCTGCGATTTTGTTTCAGCGGGAAATACCAGTTTAAAATAAATGCTTTGAAGAAATGGTTTATCAAGTGAATGCATGAGTCCTTATAGTTAAGCTCACACATCAATGTCTTGTCGGTTTGCTAGAACAATGCTGATTGGTACAGACACATCCCAAGTTTTGTACACATTAAATAAAATGTTGCTATGGATCCTCACGATGAGGGAGGAGTAAGAAATCTAGTGACGCCTTTGCCAGAGTCTCTCCCAAGTTCTCACCCAAACTGGAGCTACTTCTTGAGTAGATTCAATCTTTTCAGTCAATAGTCTCGGCTCTACACAGGCTAGATGCTAGTATAAAGCGCCCCTTGTGAAAACTGCACATTCTGGAATGGGACTCAGTCAATAAACACTCACTCACTGAATTTCCACCATGTACCTAGCTGTCTTTGGAATTAGCTAATGATCTCACATTTGACTTCTGGGATGCCTAATATTAGATTTTGGAGAAAAAAATGGCATTTTATAAAAGGTATGCAAACTTTAAATGGTTGAAAACAGAAAATAAAAATTACTTTAAACAGAAAAAAAGAGCCTTATCAGATTATGTGCTTGAGCAGTCAAAAAATCTGAGATAACATCTGCATTTTGATATGTTAGGGAGTACTTTAATTTAAAAAATACTATAAAACTGATTTCAAATTCCTTTTGAAAGAAAATATTCCCTAGTCTCCTTCACTAACCTACATCTGATTATTCAAATGTAGAGAGGGCGGTCATGTTCTTTATACATGGTCTGTATGAAGACAATTAAGAAATTACAGGACTAATGATTTCCCACAAGAATACAAGTTGCCTCAAGTTTTAACAATGTGACTTTGACCACGGTTTCCGAGTACGATAGTACCAGACGTTCTTAAAAGCAGTCCTTCAGATCCATGAGCCATGAAGTAATGCTGGTATGGAAAACAGGGCTGATCCTTTCGCCCTTAACCTTTTCCGTGAATGGCTGCTTCAGAGTCTAAGCTGTCGGAACACAGCACCTCTGTCACCAAAGCACATAAACACACAACTATCCAGATATCCAGGGCCACAATCTCAAATCCAGGCTTCTGTCATTCAACACACAGATGACTTCAACTGTATCTGGGTACTAATCCATGCACACGTAATGCACAAGCTCTACCTAATGTCAGAATTCTAGCTAAGTCGTCTAAGAGTATTTTTATAGTACTGTTCGTCTAGGAGGGCCACTCACAAGAGAAGTGCCGTCATAATCACCACCAGAATCTCCATTTTCCACAAGCGAAGCTTGATCTGAAACCGGTTTGTAAGTGAACTGGCTTATCCGAGACAGGAAAACGTGTCCTGAGACAGACTACAATTCAAAAGACGTGGTGAGGCATAGATGAGTCCAGATACTTAAGAGTTTTCTAACCAATGACTAGGCTTTAGTTGAGGAAAGGGGCATCTCCCCATTACTCTGCCAGTCGGGAAGGGCTGAAGGGAACACATCTAACCTCCCCTTCCAACTAGCCTTTAGTTTCCCCTCCCCCAGGCAGAGGAGCTAAAATGACTGGACAGAGCATGACCAACTCTGACTGCTTTTCACATCTGAGAACAGTCCTGGCATTGACAAATAGTGCACATTTACCCAGGGTCTCCAGTGCCACCAACAAGTGGATATGTGACAAAGGGCAGTGTTGAGGTCGCCCCCACATGCCCAGGTAGGGTGGGGAATGGGGGTGGGGAGGGAGGTAATGACTTCGGATTTGCACAGTGAGTCTAGCTGTCTTCAATTCAGTGGGGAAGGACAAGCAACCTGCCTTGGCCTCAGCCCTAAACCATGTATTTCTAGGTATATAGCAAGTTATAAGGAGCTTGCCCAGACGAACAGTGTTGTTATGCTTCCCATTCACCAAGTGAGGATCACTGTGTATGAACTCCAGGGGCAGGGAGAGGTGAGCAGCACTCTGATCCTTTCTCATGCAGGAGAGACACTGAGTCTTGGAGAGAAAGGACTGAAGAGCCCAGTGATATTCACCGTAAGCCAAACAAATGAGTCATTCCGCAGGTTAGAAAGGGCACTGGAACCAGAGCTGCAATGCAATATATACTGATGACAGAGGTCCAATACTCTCTTCTAGACCTTTCCCATTCTCGGTTTAGTGTAGCTCAGACCCACCAACTTCTACTCTAGCCAACACTTATCCTCAAGAGATGGAAGTACGGGATCCACTGGTTTCAAGGGGGAACAAGGCAGGAGCCTGGGGCAGGAGGGGATAGAAATGACAAGCTTCAGCAGGAATGCAGGGAACCCCAGGTCTGAGCACCTGGGGTGCAGGCTGAGGACAGGAGCCTGAGAGGAAAAAGGAGAGTAGCAAACTGTCAGGGACGATCTGGTTTGAGATGTTTTTCACTGCTGAAAATCTCTAGGAGCCATTACATGGTTTTAACGTCTACCAAATGTGAACATAATTAGTTCAGTTTCTATTTCATTCCACGTGTCCCTATATCATGAAGCTCAAGAATTTAGGTGAATTCTAGCAATTAAAATCAGGATTCAGAGAGTACCCAAATGGATTTTGGCCCTTGTCGCCTTGTAGCTTTTTTCCATGACGTGGTTTTTATAAAGAAACATGAGGACCTAGAACAAAAGGATAACCAATCCATTATCATCACAGAACCTCAGAGGATTAAAGAAAGAAACAAAACAAAACAAAACAAGCACATCTTGATGTATTCAGGTATTTCAAATTTTCTGGTACTTTGCCTTAACTACCAAAAAATAAAATATCCATGGGGTAAGGAAAAGGTGTAAGATACACTTTTTAGTTTTTCATTCTGCTTTTCCAAAAACCACGTTCATTCTAGACATCACTTGAGAAAAGCAAGGACAGGCAGAGGCGGCTGTGAAGACACATGGTCACAGACAGCTCACAAAGCTGACACGGGTACACCCGCTGATTCAAACGGACCTGGCCACAATCCGTACGCCATAGCCCTTGAGGAACTGTCCCTGGAGAAGGCATCACCTTCTAAGTTTTAGATTTAAAAATCTGAAGACTGTGTTTAAACAGTCTAGACTGATGATCATTTCAAAAGCAAAACTGCCAAAATGCCTGATCAGAAGGAACCTTCGCTACGAGGTGTCAAAGGTCACCACTGCCCTGTGTCCTGGGGAGGCGCTGAAGCTAGTCGGAACCCTACAGACAGCTAACGCAGCGAGCGTTTGTGCAGGTGTCCCCTCAAACAATCACTGCAATTCTGTTTCTCAGTAATGTTGGATTTGCTCGTGTAACATGGACACTGTGTCATAAGAAAACCAGTTTTTAAAAAAACCTCAGGTCTCCAGGCTTAGAGAATTCGGTCTTAAACGTCAGCGCAACCAAATGCAATAAAGGAAGTTCACATGCAAGCTACAGGGTAAGGAAAAGGTTTGCAAAACCTCCCAAAGCAAAGACAACATGATTGTAATTTGGGCTGGTCAGTGTCATGCTCATTTTCAAAGTTTGTACCCCTGAGAAAACTGTCTGAAAACCATTATACAGTAGGCACAGAAATCAGCATACTTTGTATCAAACAAAACACTACATAGCGGTCACTACATCAGAAATTATATTAATTTTTTGTAAATGCTGTGGACAGAGGAGACTCATGTTGAAAGTTCTGAAATCTGTGCTTGGTTTTCATCTAGAATGGAGCAAGTGTCAGGCAAATAAACATCATCTGGTACTCTGACGTCTTTCTCCCGTGCCTGTAATCGGCTCGCAATTCCACAGCATCCGTATGAGAAAACCACTAGCAGAACAGAACACGCGGCTGGGGGACTTGTTTTGCGTGTGCGGACCGGACGGTATCCGCCGGGAAGTGCTTCCTGAAGGGAGAGCACGTGGGAACTCTCTGGCTCTGATCACGGGTCGCTCCAAGACTTGAGCTGCATGGACCGAATCTCTGAGTGACTCTACTTGGGCTGTGAGACTACACTGAAAGCACAGGGACACTTGGAGTGTGACTTGCGTGCGGGAAGGTCCTCCTCGCCAACAGTACTTCACAGGATCCCTCCAAGACGCCCAGTGCTGGCCCAGGAGCGCCGGAACGGAGAGCTTACTGAGATGGCAGACTGAAGTGACGCGGCGACGCTGTTAGTCGTTGGGTTTGTTCTGAAAAAAGTTTGTGAAGGACCACCCTCCCCCGTTCGACTTCGGGGAGTCTTCGTCTTTAGGAGGGATCAAAAACTGCCTGGAGTTAATGGAGCAGGGGCTTCCGAAAGAGGCCGTTTCACTGGTGCTGTCTGTGGACCTGGGAGAGTCTGGAGACACTAAGTTCCAGTTATTGACATTTGCCTGAGGTCTGTAACCAGCAGTTTTATCTAAGTCGTCCTCCGCGCCGAGGTCTGCCCCAGTAGCAGGGACCAGCAGGTGCATCTGGGGCTTATAGCCGGCGCCCCCGACAGGGTCACTGTCTTGATCTTCCTCTGGTTTCGCCTGAGGCTGGTACATAGACTGGATATCGATGTACACGACCTGAGAGGTCCCTCCGGCCTCCTCGGCGCCCGGCTGCGCCGTTTCCTCCTCAATGACAGGGGGGCAGTAGGACACGACCACGTGGTTCTCGGCATCTGCATCACAGCTCTCGTCCCGCCGCTCGGCTACCGGAGAGATTATTTCCGTGTCTTCTATTTTCGGAACCACTGATCGAGTTTCCAGAACCTCAACATTATTTGGGGTACAAGGATTCATTTCCAATGTTTTGAGAGCACTGTTTCCCTAGAAATAAATGATGAGGCAATGATTAAGAGGGGCACGAGAAGCTGCGGCAGTGCCCTTCCTACAAAAAGGGGCATTATCTCGTGTATGTTCCTCGTGGCTACTTAGGGAAATGTGTCTTTGCTGTTCTGTACTGCATACGAGAACACAGGTACTGTTTCACATATCAGTATATTCCCGGCTATTCATAGCAGTAGCAAAAACACACGTTAATATGCATCAGCGCAGAACTTCAGCAGATGTCCAAGACGCCCTCTGCTCAACACATTTTCTGCTGGGTACATATCTGCATGTTACAAACATCTCACAAAAGACTAAAAAAAGCAGCCCGTACTGACAAATAAATGTAAGAAAAGAGGATTACCTCACAGACACTCTTCTGAAACTGCAGAGCTTTACAATTCTCTGGATTTGGAATATCAGGGTAGAAGGTTTCTTTGATCCTTTAAATAAAGATGATTAAGTGCATTTAACAATTAGGATTATCAGACCACAAGTAAGTTAGCAAACCCCTGGGCTTATTTTGACATTTCACAGGACGCTTCAGTGAACATCTGAGACTGTGAAGCCGCATCAAAGGTGCGCTCGCTCACGAAGCTCCTGTCTGAAAACTACAAGCAGTACTTCTGTTTCTAGAACTACAGTATCTTACGGATCTTATGAAAGTGGAAAAAGCAAAGGATTCAAACGGTGACGGTGCTCTCAGGTCAAAAGTACAACACAGGCACCGCTTGTCTGACTCAATGGCCACAGTGCGAGTGGGATCATGCACCGTCTGGTTGTTGGGGAGCGTATCTGCACGAGGCAGTTCCCCACGGCTCCTAACAAGGTCTGCACTCTGGGGGGAAAAGGCTACCAAAAATGAAAGGCAAACAAAAACAAGATTGGCTCAGAGCTGTGTCATATGTAGACCTGTTAAAAAGTCTGGCATTTGACATTCCCGCAGGAAAAAAAAACAAAACTTTATTAATCTAAAATGCCTTAGCTTCTAAATATCTTTTGTATTCAAATCGTTTTTATTTTTTTTATAATTTTTTTTTAAGATTTTATTTATTTAGTTGACAAAGATCACAAGTAGGCAGAGAAGCAGGCAGAGAGAGAGAGAAGGAAGCAGGCTCCCTGCTGAGCAGAGAGCCGGATGTGGGGCTCGATCCCAGGACCCTGAGATCATGACCTGAGCCGAAGGCAGAGGCGTAACCCACTGAGCCACCCAGGTGCCCCAAGGATGGCATTTTTAATACCAGTGAGGGCCGTCTATTCATGAACACAGCCATCTGTCCCAAGCCCCGCCCAGGACGCCTCCTGCCAGCTGACCCTGAGTCCCCGCTCACCACCTCCCCTCCTCTCCCCTCCCCTCCTGCCTCTCTAGCTTCACTCAGACACCCAGGTCTTCTCACTGCCTCCTGATGACCACGCTCTTTCCGGTTTCTGGGCCCTCACAGGATCATTCTCTCCTCCTGGGACACTCTTTCTCTTCTCCTTACCCTGTGGGACTCTGCTCAGATGGAACTCCCCTTGGGAAGTCGTGGCTGACCACCTGCAGTGACATGGTTGCCCCGTTATTCCCCTCATGGTACCCTGTGACCTTCCCAGTACACACATACTTTATAAGCATGTGTTTACTGGATGATTATGGGTTTGAGGTCCCCCCTTCCCCACTGAGCTCTAAGTCTGTAAGGATCACGCTTATTTAGTTCCCCACTGTTATCACTCTTCATGTGGGAGGCGGCATTCATATTTGCCAAATATATGAGTAAATGACAGTATATTCTAAATAGGTCACCAGGACAAGTGTGATCTAATCATTAATCCCGCACACAGCTATTGCCGTATCTACACCTATACGTATTTTTAGTGCATCTATTACTTTAAATCATTAGTAAATACAGTTAAGAGGAGGTTTACCTTTTATATTATTACTTTAAAAACCTTTCAGTAATTCTTGTTTAATATTAAATCCAATATTAATTAGGACTAAACCAACATTTTTTACCAACCAGTTTCAACCAAGTACTTATTTCTTAACACATGAACTGAATTATCACACTCTTCAGAAACAACAGCAAGCAGAAACGCAGGTACCATTACCATTCTCGTTTCCGATAGCAAAGGACACTCGTGACCACTCCCACGGTGACAGCCACGGCCACTGGGATGAGAATGGCGATTATTAACCCCACAGCTGAAAAAAGAATATTGGATATATTCAAATCACCACTTTAAGCAGGATGTATAGAAGACATTCATATTATAAGATACTTAAGTTGACAGATTAAAGAAAAAAAATCCTACCTGATCCAGAGACACCAAAAAATTATTAAAATACGACCTTCAAGCATTTTAGTAATTTTTACACTAATACGTAAATTCTTTAGAACAGGACTGAGTGCCACTGACATGTGAGGCTGGATCCTTCTTCCCTGTGGGGCTACCGTGTGCACTACAGGGAGCTTAGCAGCGCCCCTGGGTTTCTACCCACTAGATCCCAATATAGCACCCCACAGCTCTGAGATCCAATCCTGTCACCAGATGCCACCAAGTATCCCCCAGGAGGCAAAATGGCCCCCAGCTGAGAACCATGTCCTCATGGTGCTTTATTTAAGTGTGTGTGAACTCTAACTCCAGGCTGGAGGAGATGCCACCTTCCAACTCAAGCTCTTCGCTGCAGACAGTCAAGCCCATCTTCCCTATTCTCCTTCTCAAACTGGTGAATGCTGGGGTTTACAGTTTTTTAAAGGGTATTTCTTTAGCTCTTCCCTGGGTATGTTAAAAATCACATTTGGAATAGGGCAAAAAGGTGTTAAAGTGGGGGACACCTGGGTGGCTCATTCAGCTGAGGGTGCAACTCTTGATTTCAACTCAGGTTATGATCTCGGGGATGTGAGATCGAGCCCTGCATGGGGCTCCCAGCTCAGTGGGGAGTCTGCCAGAGAGTCTTTCTTTCCCTCTCCCCCTGCACCTCCCCCACTTGCACACACGTGTGTGTTCTCTCAAATAAATATAATCTTTAAAAAATATGTTAAAGGGGGTCAGCTTTATATAGATTTAACATGAATTTAGAACTCCAGATTTGAGATGTATCCTTCATACAGTAATTTCTTAAGTACTCTTAGGAAAAGAGCTTCAAATAACTGACAAGAATAAATATGAAGTCATCCTGTGGCCTTTGAACACTGCTGGCTACGCATGATAAACAAGCAACAATACATGCAATTTTAAAAAAGGGGGTTCCTCCATGAACAAAACTTGCTGAAAACTTATGCATTTAGGTACGGAAAGCACCTCAACAGCAATAATTATCTTACAATTTTCCTTCGTCACCACGAACATGCTCTTCTCTGGGCCCATGCCACCATCTGTGTAGGCTCGCAGGACCAGATGGTAACTTGTTTTACCCTGAAGATCAGCAATTCTCAGTGTCTTCTGGGATAGGTCAGTAATGTTCTTAATCTTTATGTCTGACCGACCTATTTTCAAAGGGAAGATTATTATTACTGATCTCTACACCATTTTTTAAACACCTAGCTACTCATACCTGTTCGACCCACACCTCTGTCTCGAGTGAGTGGTTGCCGACTGCCCTTGAGGCCAGTGCCTGTGGACCCCATTTCAAGTTCTCCCTCTGCCGTTAGCAGCCATGTGGTCCAGACCTGGTATTGAAACTACCCCAAACTTGAGTTTCTCTAATTCATGAAACAACGATCACGACCTACCTCCCAGGGCTGTGAGAAGTTGTCATACATTCTCTAGAATAATCCTGGCATATGGCAGGTAATCAACAGAAGTCCCTTCTCTTCCTCAGAGCAGGAAAGTGTACCTCCACCTGCTGGGGCAGGGTCGCTGTGCCTGGGGCCACCCCACCGAGTGGTGCCAGAGCCCCCTTGCTACCATGCTCGCTCCCGACTGCCTGCGAAGAGGCAGCACACTGAGCTGTCGCGTGAGCCGCTAGCCAGGAAGCCTTGAATACTCACAGGATCATTTCAGAAGAAGGATGAAGAACTGCTTCAACTATTGTTTTAAAGTTTTAATCAAAGTAATAGACGACTAGTTTGAAAAACTGAACAAGATTAAATGGTAACAACAAAACGCAGCAGTTTTCTGCTCGCACCTTCCCTGCCAAACGTCACCTGTTTCTTTGGATATTTACTTCTGTATTTTGAAATAAAATCACGCTGGCGGCACTTTAAGACTTGTAGACATTACATACCCATGTCCTACAAAGAAGGTGAAGCTTGGGTGTTCTCAGCACTCTGTCTCCCTCACGTCCCACATCATTCACACATACCACAATGTTTGGGAAATTCACCATTTACATTACTGCGATCGTTTAAGTATGGATTCCTGCTAGACAAACTGCTTGGTCTGCTCATGTTTCCCTTACTTTTCTGTTGTTTTAATGTCTTTTCCTCATTTGCTTAATGTACCCATTCCTAATTCTTCCCACACCCTCCTGTGACTATTCAGTGCAATTTTCCACATGGCCCAATGCAACAAAATCCCAGAGCCATGACTGGCTGCCCCACCTCCCCACATCCCCCCACCCAGGGCCCCCTTCCCAGTGTATCTGCTCCAGACCCAGGCCTTCCCAGCTCCCACCGTCCTGAACCACCTTGTCCCACTTGCTTCCTCAGGCTGACCCACTGTTCTAGAACCATTGCCTGAGAAGGGGACATGGGGAAGGAAGTATTTGCAGCTCTACGGGTCTGAAGATGCCTTCCCTCTGCTCTCACACTGGCTGCCGCTGACAGAGTACAGACTTCAAGGTTGAAAAAAATTTGCACTCAGTTATCTTGGAGACCCAGCTGTGCTCTCTTCCAGCATCTGCTGTGCTGCTGAGAAATCCGAGGCCACTTTCATTCCTGAGGCCTCACACCTGAGCCAGTCTTTTCTGTTTCTAGGACTTGTATCAGGTGCTTGGGAAATTCATGACAGCCTACCCTGGTGTAGATTTCTTTTTTGGTGTAGATTTTTTTCTACCTATCTTACTGTGTACTTACTGAGTGCTTTTATCTGGGAAATGTTCTTCTGCTCTTTGGTCATTTCCTTCTATTGCGGCCCCCTCCATACCTCCCCCACCAAGAACTCCTATAAAGCGTGACAGCACAGGTCTCCGCGTGCTCCAACTTCCTCATTTTACTCCAAGTTTTCTCCTCTGCATTTGTCTAACTTGGGGAAGAATTTCTCTCCCATGTAATTTCACTACTATTTAATTCTTTAAAATTTTCTTTGATTACATTTGTAATTTTGATGAGTTCTTACCTATCTTCTGACCATTCTTTTTTAATAACACCAGGGGATAATAATAAATACAATAAATACAGGGAGGGTATCTCCACTATGCAAGGATAGTTTTGTTCTTTGTTTTAAAATTTTGTTTCCCTACTCTGAATCTGTTTTCTCTAATTTCTTCTGGTTTCTGTTAGAAACCAGAAGAAATGTTAGAATCTTTCTCAACCATCTGGTTATCCCTGGCTGCTAGTCACAGTTAGAGCGAGCCCCTGGAAGGTCACTGTGAATGGGTGGAGCTTACTGGTTGGTGGGCTTCACTTATCACTGGTGGGGAATGACCAGGTCAATTTCTGGCCTTTCACTGGGACAGCCCCCCAATACCAGCACCTTTTGTGTCTTGCCCCAGGAACCATTTCCTTTTTTGCAAAGAAAGATCCTCTTATCTTGTCCAGGGAAATAGACCTTAGCTGAAGATGTCCTATTAGCTTCCTATTAGGGGAAGGAGGAACAGAAAAGGTCACACTGTTCACTAGGGTCCCTCTCTCTGGAGGTTCTCTGGCTGTTTCTCCAAAGAATAAAGCCCTCATCTTTGGGCAGGGGAACGGGCACTCACGTTAGCTGAATGAAGTTGGTGTACAACTTTGGGGGTTCTCACTGCTTACAAACTTTCAGTGAGTCCTCACTGTTCAGCTCCTATCCATCCTAACCACCTGCCTCCAATCCCGACCTATAGGATGAGTCAAATTATTTCTCGCTGAAGCCTGAACGTCCACCTGGATTTCACCATCCTTCATCCTCCAGGTGATCTGTCCTACTCCCATCAGCCCAAAAATGTCCAAATTTGGTGTACTCTTGCCTGTCTCTGTTTGTTTGGCTTTATGCTTTTCTTTTCCTCTTCAACTTCAGTGACCAATCCTCCATGTCTAAATGGAGTCTAGGTGCTAGAATTTTAATTGGTACAGCGTAAAATTTCTGAACATTTGAGAAAAATTTCACCAGACTCTAGGTATTTGTAGAACTTTGTATGTGGGGTTTTTCTCATTCACAGGCAACTGCGAAGGTTCTGGAAACACAGACCTTAGTGGTGAGGAGGCGGTGCACAGTTGGCACAGCTGCTCTGGGAAGTGCCTTAGCTGATGCCCGGGCAGCACCACCATGCAGCACTACTGTTCTCAACTTGTCGGACGGGCATTGAATAATTAAAGTGGTTTTCTTCTGAGGAGAGGTCATTAAGGGAAGTGAGAGCTCTCAAACTGAAAAGATGATAGCCTTGTGTTATGTGGCTATGAAGAGGAAACATCTGACTCCCAACAGAAATATAATTTAGGGAGAAGCCATAAGTCTGCATAAACATTTCTGTATTTATAAATTTGAAAATTCTCTATGGACTCTGGACATCCGCTTACCAACTGTCAAGGACTGACTGAACCTTTAAAGATCTAATGGATGCTCTTGTCCCCAGTCAAGTCAATTAAGCTTGCCAGCTCACCAAGGCCACTACTAACTGTGCGGACGGCTCTCTGTCAGGTAACAGCAGAGGCTCTGGAGCCCTTCTCTGGGTTCCTGAACTTTTCTCCTCCATTATTAGAATTACAGAAAGACTTTTTTAAAAAAATTTTAAATAACCTAGGTAAGATGCTATGTTTGTTATGCATGATACAAGACTGCTAAGAGATGATCTCTGTCCTACGGGGCTTATAATCACAGTCTGCAGAATAATTTAAATGCAAAATGGTACAAGTCATTTATCACATACTAAAATCCTGAAATTCTCATATTTATCCATTTTCCTTTATCTCTTTGTCAGTTTTGGAAACCAGTATTACTCAGCAGCACTTCTCTTTCCTTGGTTTTTATTTTTTTATTTTTTGTGGTTAAAGAGAACTTCTAGGAAATATTCCCGCTGTAGTTAAGTGACTTACCGGATTCCAAACCCCTTATTTTAGATGTGTCTCTCTCTCCTTTTTCAAAGTAAAATAAGTATCCTCTTAAAAAGCCTCTGAGCTCTTCCACGGGAATATCTTCCCATTTTACTAGTATCGAATCTGCAGATGTGTCCTCAACAGTGAAATTTGGCGCAACAATTGGAGCTGTAAAGAGAAAAACGTCCGCAGCTAGAGGAGAGTTGACGGACACAGAGGAAGACCGCAACATTTGATGACATTTCTATCCTCAAGAATAACTGAATCTGAAATTAGAACTTTATTGTCTACGAAGTCCCACTTTCAGAGGTACTAGCACAAGCACTGCTCCCGTGAAGCTCATGCACTACTGACTGGAGACACAAGGGGGTTTCTCACAGCACACACCCGCAGCAGAGGGAGAGGGGGCCCCCTCGGCAAAATCCGGGAGCAGCTATGCAAACAGAACTGTGTCCCCCCTCTGTACACAGTCTTAAAGTTAATGGTTTTATTAAACGTGTTTAAGTGCAAATTTTAAGTCTCTCTGACATCAAAATTCAGATTTCATTTCTCAATGACAACAGTAAAACTGTGAAATATAAACATTAACGAAATGAAGATTAAGTAATCACAATTTTCAATTTATCATACAAATTATTCTTCCTTCCTTAAACATCTCAAATCGTTTTTAGAATTCAATCTTGCAATCGCTATTTATTTCTGATTCCTCATGTTACCTTGGACTCTAAGAAAACATACCCATTTAACTTACCCAGTTCTTCTACATATCCAATTATAGAGCGCAGTAACTGATACCCTTGATTCCTGCACCCATACAGAAAAAACTTGTATCTTACACCAGGTCGAAACTGATCTACAGGATGGAGACAATTAACTTTTGTTAAGCACATATTACTATGAACATCTATTTTAGAAATAGCAAACCTATATATAATCACTTATTCTGAAGTTTCCAAAGCTAATTTTAAATAGCTTTTTTCTTATCATTAAAAAAATCCATTTTTTCGAAACTGATAAATATTCAGAGTGAAAAATGACTAAAGAAAAATTAAACAAATTCACTTCTGTAATGAACAGTGTAACATACCATGACCTTGAAGGGAGAAAATAGTGAACAGGGCTTTCATTCTGTTTCTTTAAGACCAAGCAACGAGGACTTCTTCCCAATTTGGGCCGGGTCAGTTTACTAGCCAATTCCAGGTCCAAGTCAAGCCTCTGGAAAGCCCTTCCTGCTCTAGCCAGTGTGATCGCTCTCTCCCCTTGCCTCTGAAAAGCAGAAACTAACATTTCCACTCTACCTTGCTGCTTCAAGTATGCCGGCCCATAGAGTCTGTTTTTCTATACAGCATCACTATTTAGTGCCCTTGAGTTAACATCACAAAATGCGCAAGAGAAGCATCTTAACTTCAAAAAGCCCCCTTTAAAATACCTGACACAATGCAACATGTGAAATCTTGGGAACACAGAGGCAGACACTGTGTGGGCCATAGCCTAGAAAGGTGGTAGAATGGTGGGGAGACAGATGAACGGGGGTAACCAAGACACCACGTGCTAGACTACAGGGACCTATCACAGGCTGGGGCACCTTTACCGTGCCACCAAAGGAGTCTAAGAGTACCACGAAAAGCCACCAAGAGGTGACATCTGAAACAGGGTCTTAAAAGGTAATTAGGAGCTCAGCAGTGGTGGTCTAGGAAGAAGATCCCGCCTGGGGGAAAACGGCAGCATGTGGGGTTGCACTGCGCTCGTGGAGAGCAACTCTTCTGGTGTGGTCAGAGCGCCAGTTCTCTAACTATGCACCCACGTAACACCAGTGCTTCTACAAGCTCCAGAGTGAGATGGCCAACCTCTATGATCGTTTTGTAACTTTTTCTTTGGCATCAGGCATGCCTGAGGTTAGTTTAATCTTCATGTAAGTTAGTAAACTGTACCTAGTGTTACGACGATAAGTATGTCAATATTCATAGGGTTCTGCTACCTTAAAAAGAAAAAGGGCCCGAGTGGGGATTATGGCTTTAGTTCTGTGTTTTGAGGTGGTAAAATAGACAGCTGAAGAGATGATTAGGTTGGGAAAAGGACAGGAAGTGCCTCCTGTGGCCTCCTGTGGCCACGGTGCTGTCCCAGCAGCAGTAAATGCGAGAGACCATTCCTGGCCTCCCAAGGCACTGAACGTTCTGCTTTGAATTTGAATCCTGGAGCTGCCACAAGCTGGTTCTGTCAACTTGGGCGGTCTGAGCCTTTCTCAACCACTGTGGGGCCTTTGCTAACATGCTGTAATCGGGAGCTTCTCCCTCTCACCATACAGGTCTCAGCTTCAACTTCTGTCTCCAGATGCTCTAAGACGACCCCTCCCACACCACCGAGCCTGCCCCAGTCCACCCTCGTTATTCTCAAAGCCCAGGTGCGGAGGTGGAAGAGGGACGAGAATCTACGATGTACATTAGGCTGGCGTAAGGCTTAGGCAGCCCCAGGTGGGGACGGTGCGAGGGCAGGTGCGGGAGAGGAGGGTGGAGAGTGCCAGGCACTCTGAGAAGGGAGGCAGGCGCTAAGGAAGGATAAAGGGAACCATCAAGTACTTCAAGTAGAACTGGCAAATACTCTTAACCAACCTGGAGTCATCTAGCCGACGCGACTCATCTTCACCAGCTGATGGTGAAAAAGCAAGCGGGCAGCACTGGCTCCTGGGCGAGAGGCTCAGCCTACTCTCCTGGGCTTCCCCTCAACGTGAGAAGAACCGGGACAGGGGGATGACCTCGAGGAGCATCACCACCAAGGCTATAGGATCCAGAATCCCCAAGGGCAGGGGCACGAAACACTCACAGCTACTCAGAATGAACAATGGTGGTGGAAAGAGGGCTGTAACGTCCAACGGCAAGGCTGGCTTCGCCTGCTCCTGTTGTTCTCCTCATGGCTGACCTGTAGGCTGGTGCTATCAAAAGCAGCGTGCCTTACAGGGCTCCCCAGCTTGTCAATGGTCAGGCGCCGGGAACCGTCCCCTCCCCGCCCCACACACCCTGTGCCCCCTGCCACACGGGTGCCCCCCATCCTCCATCAGTGGCTCTGTTCTTGGCTCTGCCCAGAAAACTGCGCTTGGACACATGAAGGCAAAGGTCGAGGAGTGAGACCACACGGCTTAGGGCTCCATGGTTTTCTTTCTTCAGGAGCATTCCTCCATGCTGTTATGGTTTTGACGCCATCTGCGGTGCTACTTAACATTCCACTTTACAGATACACTGTAACTGACTCATTCTCTTATTTGGGTTTTCAAGTTTTGTGATTACAAGTAACACTATGGTGAACCTTCCTAGATGGAATCCTGTGCTGCCCTCTGATTTCTTAGAATAAACTCCTAGACAAATAATTACTAAATTAAAAGATAGGAACCCTTTTCCATGCATACTGCTACAAAGCACTTTCCAGAAAGGTCAAACCAATTCACACCCATTCCCGTGGTAAGGTGTAAACGACCACTCATCACACGCAGTCACCCCATGTACTGCTCTCTTAGAAATATTTTTAACAACTTTCATGGAGAGGCATGAGTTCATCTTACCAGATTCTATTACAGTTTCAGTGCTGTTTGAAGGGACTTTTTTCCAGTCCATAAGGCAGGGTTCAGACCGAGATGAGTTACACCATTTAATAACATAGTCACAAGTCATATTGGGATCGTAATTCCAAGTGAGGAGAATTCCATTTCCCATTCCGACAGCCTGCTCTACTTTGAGATCATCTTCAACAAGAAAGAAGTGCATGTTACTTGTATTAAAAACAGTAATATAAGGTATATCTCATGAAAATGGGCAAGAGTTAAAAAAACTACTTCACTGGACAGAAATTTTTGAAAGAGTGCTCAAACTACCTAAACCTGTAGCAAAGTTTAGAAGACTTACTCCGCTGCTTTTGTTGTAAAAAGCTAACTGCCTGTGCGTACAGACAGATTCGGAAGCTGGAAAGTCATGAAAGCGCACCTGGGACAGGTGAGGGCGCAGCAGGCCAGGGTGTGAAGGCCGGCCAGGGCAGATGGGTGGGAGGACGGGGCTGCGGGCATGCAGACAACGGGGGGGTGGTGGCAGTGTTTGGAGGGGAAGGCAGATGTGAGCTCTGTGAGCAGACGGGGGTGACTATGCCCGCGACCCCCGCCCTGGGGCCAGACCTATATACCGGGAGCACGAGAATCTGTGGTGAACAAGCGGACCAAACCTTCTCTTCCTCTCAAGCCTCTGGGTGGGCTTAAGGGGCTTGTGGAGACGGGCTGAGGAATGGGGAATCGGCTAATACGCAGAGGGATCAAAGGCCATGGGACGGAATGGCCGCTATGGGACAGAACGGCCAGCTTGCGCACAGGGAGGGAACCACACACACACACACACGGGACAGAGGGCTGAGGTGCAGAGGTTGGAGGGACAGGGGCTGTGCTGAGATTCTGCCTCCCCATCCTGTCAGATCTTGGCCTACAGATGATGGGGGGGTGGCTAGGCTGGAGGTGAGGACTGGGTAGCTTAGGCCCAAAGGGAGAGGGTATTTTCCACAGTTAATAGCAGGAAATTCCTTTTTTTTTTTTTTTTAAGATTTTATTTATTTATTTGACAGAGATCACACGTAGGCAGAGAGGCAGGCAGAGAGAGAGGAGGAAGCAGGCTCCCTGCTGAGCAGAGTGCCCAATTCGGGGCTTGATCCCAGGACCCTGGGATCGTGACCTGAGCTGAAGGCAGAGCCTTTAACCCACTGAGCCACCCAGGTGCCCCCATAGCAGAAAATTCTATAACTGATTTTTATTCAAGGGTCCAGTAAAAAGACACAGAAAGGGTTTTTGGAGAAAAAAAAAAATGGTATTCATAAAGCAATTCCTACCTGACACAAGACAACAATTTGGCTTAGAATTCAGAAGACCCTGGACATAGGAGTGTTTGGGCTCAATGTGATTAAACCCCCACACTATGAACCTGCTTCGGGGCCACAGGGCCTCCGACGCAGGAAATCCTCAAGGAAGGGTGATTTTTTGTGAGGCTTCCGTAACTGTCTAGGAGCTGATGCTATACCATTGTTAGTTCAGAAGTTACCACCTTCTGAAGGACACATGGAAAAGGCAGGAAAACAATCTGTGAATTAAAAGACAACGCAGCTATTGCCTATCATTGTAAAGCAATGAAATGTAGAATCTAAACCAGAAGGCTATCTTCTTAAGGATGTTCACACCTCTCTTCTCTTTTTTTTTCTTTCTGCTGTCACAGCACTGCCTGAGGACCTCTGCCCTCTGGTGTGTGCTGAGATCTGGGCTCTGTGTTCCATGTGTCTGAAAGGAACAGTGCTTCCCCCTGTCCTTCCTCCCCTATGGTCCACTGAACAAAGCCAAGCAGCAGCTAAGTGCAAGGAGTAAGAAACTGCCTCGGTCAAGAGTTGAAAAGATACTTGGAGGAACCTAACTGGACCAACCAACTTTTCTTCCTTCAGGAGTGGCTGGTCACAGACCAGCGCCCCCATATTGGGGCAGGACAGCAAAGGGAGATGGGAGCAGGGAATGACCTGAAGAGGAATGAACTGAGAAAAGAGGCAGAAGTGGCTATGGGTTAAGTATTATGGATTACTGGTAATCCATAACATTTAAAGAAAGGCACTCAGTTAATTTTAAAATTGTTCTAGAGTGACTTTTTAAAGTTTATACTGAAGATCTAATTTAGACTTTAATTTTTTTTTTTAAGATTTTATTTGATAAGAGTGACGCCAAGAGAGCAAACACAAGCAGGGGGAGTGGGAGAGGGACAAGCAAGCTTCCCGTTGAACAGAAGCCCGATGTGGGACTTGATCCTAGGACCCTGGGATCATAACCTGAGCCCAAGGCAGATGCTCAATGACTGTACCACCTAGGTGCCCCTAAGAAGAATTTTTTTTTATTAGTAAAGGATTCCTATTAATAAAGAAATGTCTTATCAACAAAGCTGCTATTAAAACTAAGTATTTTTTTCCTCCCTGGCAGTTTGTGGAACAGCGCAGCTGATACAGCAACAGCTCCCATGGTCTTGGAAAGATACCTGAAAATGGTCTTAAATAAACGAAAGTCCACCACCATAACTCTCCAATGTTATGCCCTACTGTGACTGGGTAACACTAATTATTTTATCCACCAGCACCGAGGTCTGGAGTCACCACGAGTGACTAATGGCTGCTGTCTCTTCAAGAATTCTGCACAGGAACGGGCTAAATCCTCCTTACAGATCAGCAGCAGCCGGGGATATGATAAGAGAGCTGACCTTGTAAGAGCAGGCGAACACCCTTTAAAATGTTTCGCTGTAATTGCCGGTTCTTAGATTCTGCATTATCTTAGGTACTCACCGTTTGGAATTTCCATGCTAGCTATTTTAGAAGGTGGCGATGAGCCAACAGAATTTTTTGCCACCACACTGATGATGTAGTCGTTTTTATCAAGTTGTAGTTCTGCCTTGTGTTGAGGATCAGGGATCTCAGAAAGGGACTGTGTCTCCTCATCAAGCAAACAGGATACATTATAGGAAAGTATTTTCCCATTTGCTTCATTAATGGGTAAAGGCTGAGAGAAACAGAAAAATAAATTGTCAAGAAACCTGCAACACCAGCCATGTGGTGAGGCAAGACGGTCAGGTGTAAACCAGACACCACGTCAGTCATGACAAGGCAACATCAGACTCACGGAAGCTGTGAATGGTGTCAAACACAGATTCAGAAGGCACCGTGGCCAGGACAGATCAGGGGAGTGATGCTGAGGAAAAAAATATACTTACTGTAAGCAGTTTAAAAGCACACAGCAATTTAAAAATTAAGTTAATACGAACCAGTTTTTAGCCTCACATTTTTCAGAAGCAAACAAAAAAGTAACAATGACTGCTCTACCAAACGAAACATAAAATATTACGGCACTGGGGCGCCTGGCAGGGTCAACCAATGGGGCATGTGACTCTTGATCTCAGGGTCATGAGTTTGAGCCCCACACTGGTGGAGAATACTTAAATAAATAAAACTTTAAAAAAAAAAAACAGCATCATAGTTTTTAAAAAATATATTTATTATTTTCTCAAAATAGTACATGCCCATTACCAGAAAATTTGGAAATGATACAAAAGTTAAAAAAAAAACCTGTAAAATGTTCCCATATTCCCACCTCTTAAACACTCTTATATTTTTGCATTTTCTTCAAGTTGTTTTCTAAGATGTAGATATTTTTTAATTAAAATTGTTTTAATCACGATTTTATCTTTTTTTCACCTTTCTATAATATAGCTGTCTATAATATATATACACTTGAATGGCTTTATATTTTATGTAGTATTTTTACTAGTTATTTGAATATTCCATAAATAAATGAAATTTAAGTTGTTTCTAACTTATTACTAAAATTATACTTTGGTGTACCTTTTCATACCACTTTTTTCTTTCATAGTTAGGATTAATTCTTTAATGTGGATCTCCAAAGTAGACTTATTAAACTGCTTTTCCAAACTATTCCTCCAATTTATACAACAACAAACAGGACACTCTGATCCAGACTGACCTCGATATTAATACTCTGTTGAAAACAGTGCTCCAAACAGGGACTCTCTGATGGCCTGTCCTATTGGGTCCTTTATCAGTCTAAGGCTCATGGGCCTTCTTTGACGCTACTGATGGCTCGCTCCTTCACAGAACCCCACCCTGGGTTTCTGCTTTACCAGTTTCTGCTGGTCTTCCTGTCCTCTAACCTTCCCACTCTCTTCTGCGGGCTCCTCCTCCTCTGCCGCTCCTTTATACGCTATCACCTACGCGTCCCTCCTTGGCCTCTTTCCTCCCAGCATGGTCTCCCTGAGTGATTCCACGTACACGCTACTCAAAGCTATGTCTTTAGCTCTGACTACCCTCCTGAACTCCAGAGCCTCACATTAAACCACTACCTATTAGACTTTACTTTGATACCCTAGTGGCACCTATTTTTAGAATGTGTTTTTAAAAAGTCAACCCCAACCAACTTAATTTTCCACCCAAACACACTCCTCCTTGGCAAATGGCAGAACCATCAACCTAGTCTCTGAAGTTACAATCACCTCAGTATTTTTAACCGTTGGTTAGGCATTCATCTAGTTTGAAGCACGTCCCAGACTTTCTCTACACTGAAGTAATGGTCCTGCAACACCAGGCCAATGAGTGGAGTGGGTACAGTAGGCTCCTGTTCCATCACCTAATTCCAAAGACCCATGTGATACATTGTCTTTGGCTAGAGGACGCATCAGCTATTACACCATGAAGAACAGACCCTACACTTGATCTTAGCCGAAAGGCTGAGAAGCGACACACTGAGGTGGTGTGGAACTGTAACTACATCGTCATGAAATCTGACAGACAACTCTGAGTAGCAGTGGATTCTCTAATCAAGGGTCAGAGGGGTACACGGTCATACGCAGACAATCACAAAGCAACAGGACTTACAGTGAATCTGCACACAGACTTAACTTTCCTCAAAGCTGGGCTGACCTCAAATTTTCGTAAAAATAATGTTTTACTTTCAGTAACAAAATTCACTATTGAAAGGAATCCAATTACGGCTGCTCTTGTAACATCTGACTCGAAAACAACCGTTTGTTTTTGACGTTTGCAAATCAGATAAAGAATATAATGCTACAAAAATGTCTGCCCCAGTAGAGGAACACCAGTGAAAACACAATACAATTTATAGTGTATCTAAAAATTTCACAAAACCATGAAAGTCTTTTTAAGTGGCATACAGTAATACAATTAAGGGAAAACAAATTACATATGAGATATGTAAGAAGTTTCCTATTCAGTGAAGAAAAAAATGTCAAGAGAACTGAGATTCTAACTTGTAGCTTCTGGCTGTGTTTCTGGCTCAGGTGAGAGAGAGGAATTCATGAAATCCTCAGTTCCTTTGTAGGCCTCATGAAATCGAACTAAAGAACGCTGCGATCTGTCAGAGAAGATCCCCGCCAAACTGACCGCGGTGCATACGGGGTGATGAGCACTGTGGGGGCTGGCAGGAGCTAGTTAGATTCGCAGCAGGACTGCGAACAGCCAGTCTCGGAAACCCGGGCTCCTTGATCACCGAAGTAACACACATAAGCTAAGTAACTCAGCACAGTAGTGTTGTTTAAATTCTCAGGGGAAAATCAGGTATTTACCTTCCAGTAGATTATCAAATTTTTTCCATCGGAACTCCACTCTCTCCACGTATCTGGTCCCTTTGAAGGAACTAGGAAAGAGATTTAAAAGTTAGCAGCTGAAGGCGTGGACTACATGTCAGTTGTTAACAGCAGTAATTGAAACAGTGGCACTGCGATTTTTTTCCCTAGGTTTTTGGAATTCTCATAAAAATGTGAAGTGGCCCAGTGGCTTCCCCTCAGAAATGAAATAAGGGAAAAGCTGAGTGATCAAGGCCAGCAAAACGGGAGGCCCCTTACAAAGGATTAAAATCACCCCTCAGGCCCTGAGGGATGCGACTCCGTCTCACATCCTCCTACCTCCCCTCACTCAAGTGGTGAGGACTCTCCCTGAGCACAGGCTTCTTGGTGCTCCTCAAATGTGCTGAGGACACCTGCCTCAGGCTTCCGGTGCTTTCTGTGACCCCTCTCCCCGCACAGAGAAACTCTCCTCCCCTGGAGGAGATCACCTCACCTCCTCCGTATCTCAGCTCCGGTGTTACTCTCCTACTTGAAGTCTTTTCTAGCTACCCTATTTAAAAAACTGCAACCCCTCTACCCCTGTCACCTTCTTTCCTTAGTCCCCTTTCTAGGCTTTATTTTTCTCTGTGGCACTACCCAACATACTATTTTTTAAAAACTGATTTCTAATCCTTTATCCTAATAAACTCCATGGGCAGAGACTGTTTTATTCAGTGCTATATCCTTGGTGACTACAACAGCTCCTGACACACTGTGGGTGCTTTTTTTTTTTTTAAAGATTTATTTGAGAGAGAGCAAGCAAGGATGCATGTGAATGGGGTGGGGGGGTAGAGAATCCTGAAGCAGATCCCTGCTGAGTGCAGAGCCCGACATGGGGCTCAACCCATGACCCACGAGATCATGACCTGAGCTAAAACCAACAGTCAGCCCCTTGACCGACTGAGCCACGCAGGTGCCCCTCAGTAAGTATCTGTTTAGTGAATTCGTGCTATCATCTCAGTGAGGTATAGATAAAATGTTTTCTTGTGGCAACAACAGTGCATCAACTGAACGCAAAAGATCCTGTAGTAGCCAGTCTCCAAATGATCAGTGATACTGGTCACAGCTCCTGGTATGCCCACCTGCGTGTGGTCCTCTCCCACACTGTCACAGCACTGGCCTGGGTGACCAACAGAGTATGACAGATATGATGGTAGGTCCCTTCTAAGGCCCGGTCATAAGAGGCATTGCGGAGGCTGCCATGTTCTCCCTCTACCCACTAAGTCTAGAGCAGCTAGCTGCCATGTTGTGAGGATACTCGGCAGCACCACGGAGAGACCTAATGGTGAGCAACAGCCTCGGCATGAGCCATCCTGAAAGCAGATTCTCTAGCCCTGGGCAAGCCTGCAGCCTCCATCTATGTCCACGCTGTGGCCTCACGAGAGACTGTAAGCCAGAGCCACTCAGCTAAGCTGCTTCTGAATTTCTGACCTATACTCATTGTGAGATAATATATGTTTACTGTTTTAAGTCACTGAATTTTAGAGTAATTTGTCAGGTAGCAATGGGTAACTAAATACACTCCCCTTTCTGGCCTCGTACACAGCGTTCAGTTTTGATGATCCAGATAGTTTTTTTTACATTTATCACAAAGCTTTTCTCATCTCTCTAACCTTCCTTCATGTGGAGAGGCAAAAATCTGGATTAACATCAATCATTTTTTGTCTTACTGTGCATTAATTTTTTGGAAAAAGTTTTTTTCAAAGATTCATTTACCTGAGAGAGAGAGAGAGAGAGAGAAACACACACATAAGCTGGGGGAGGGGCAAGAAGAGGAAGAGAGAGAAAATTCTCAAGCAGACTCCCTGCTGAATATGGAGCCTGATGTGAGGCTTGATCCCAGGACCCCGAGATCATGACCTGAGCTGAAATCAAGAGTCAGATGTTTAACCAACTAAGCCACCCAAGCGCCCCTGGAAGAAGTTTTATATTCCCTATATTAGCTAGTGCAAATAAAGCATTTGCTATCTTTTGTTGAATGACTCCTAAAAAATTATACCTATTCGTAAGTTTTTTGTTTTTGACTTTTAAAGCTGACATCTGACTATTCAAGGATAAAATCTCGTTTCATCTTTGGAAATTACCATACTCAGAAAACCAGTTACCTAATTTTGTACTTATTTTGGCCTCTGTGTACTACAGAAAATGAAGTTCAAGACTTCTGGCCCCATCCATTTCTCAGGCCAAGGTCACAAATAAAAATTCCAACAAATTCTCTTTGTTAATATCTAAATAGATTATTAAAATTATAGGGAAGGAGGACAGAGTGTCAGAAAAATCACCCATATTCTTACCACAGTCTCGAGTCTGTTTCCTCTACATCATCTTAGGACAGCCGCAAACATCCTGCAGATAGGCCTAGTCTTTCCACACAGCACAGCCAGCAGCTGTTGTATTATCACAAACCTTAGAGCCACCACTTAAGATGTCTGGATGATCTTTTACTAGCAGATATTACACAATTCCGCAATTCAAGCGTTATCCTTTTACTCACTTTAGTGACATTTTCTTTAAAAATAAGTTGTAAAATTCAAGACCCACAGTAATAATCAGCTATAAATCATTTAGTGAACTTACTGGCTTCTGTGGTTAAGTATTTTTTTTCATTGCTCCATTTGCTCCATTTCCAGAAAGTTTCAGTAGAACAGCGAATCCGGAAAGTATATATGGTATATGGATTTAACTTGTCCACAGCTACAAGATAACTTGAATTTTCTACTCCTTTGATTGTGACATTCCGCTATTAAAGCAAATCAGTAAGTATATGTATATACATGGAACATCATGTAAGAATTCTCATATATACACACACACATACACATTTTAATAAGAAAGCCCACCCATATTTGTATCATAAATAGACTAAATGTCCACAGGAGTTTACCTTTATAAAACTAAAGACCGTTCATCCACCAAAATATTTTAATTTTTACATAAATACAAAACTCATGAAATTATGCTCTATAGTAACAATAAACAGTATTTATGTGTCATTTTAATTCAAATATGGATCTAAGTAATAATGATAAGATAAATTATGCAGAGAGGATGATATGCTCTTGCTCACTGGTCAATGGCTAATGGTAATACAACAGGCCTTAGTACACTTTAGTAATCTAAGATGACCTTGAGGATTAAATATATAAGCTGTATTTGGAAGCTTCTTTGAGGCAGGCATCATTTTATGCATTTTTAATAGGGTACTCAGAACCTCTAGTATGGTGCTAAACATGTAGAATATATTCTTCAACAAACTCTTATTTAAATTATATAAAATTAAAGTGAAACAATTTAAACAAATCTGAGGATCCGCATGTCTCAGGAAATCCTCTGAGCTCCCAATTACGAATTACAAAGCAGTTTTCTGGGTTATATTCTGCCATTTGACTGATTTTCTAGCAATCATGTAAATTTCCAAATGAGTATTTTCATTCAGTATCTTTCATTTTGGACTTAGCACAAATTACAAGATGGTGCAGTACAAAAGTCAAGCTAAGTATCCGCAATGTATTAAAAAGTCATGTTCTGACTTGAAACGACCACCTTCTGACTTAGAACTTGTTCCTATTGCTGCACTTGGCAATTTTAAAAATCACATCTCCTCTCTGGTGCTTATCAGCCCATTAACTGATGTGAAAGGTTATAGCAACAACTATCCATTCATTTACAAATCTGCTGAGCACCAGCCATGTGCCAGGGACTATACTAGACCTGGAAACATTGTGGGAAGTCAAAGTCAAACTCATGTTCTATGACACCCAGTATTACAATTGTTTCAAGTGCTACATATAATGCTGTCATTACACTGATATATATAGTGTCTTACTTCTTACTAAATCTCTGTAATAATCCATGTGAGAGCTTCTGCATATCAATATCCTTAATTCATTCTGAAAACTATTTTAGCCAAAGTAACATCAAAGGAAGTTTATAGGAAAATCTTACTCACCAATTCTTGGACTGAGTTAGTTTTGTTAATTTCAATTTGACATAAAAGTTTAATCTTTGCAAAGTTGCCTGGTAAATGCCAGGAAAGTGTAACAGCTGTTGAATTAATATCCTTCACTTTGATTGAAGTAGGAATACGAGGACAGACTGTAAGTATAATTTGTAAAGATTACTTAAAAAGTTACTTTCTAATAGGACAAATGACAATTAAAAACAAAACAAAACAAAACAAAACAAAAACCACTAAGAAACGAGAGGAGTCATTGGTACCGATCAACAACATTCCACTCAAGCCGTGGCATACACAAACCTCACTTTTACTGCTGGAATCATGCCTACTCTGTTTCCGGACCAACCACACTCACGGTTCCTAGACTGGCATCAGGAATACTAAAAGGTAGTAAGATCATAATCTCTACCTTTAAGGAATGCCGAATTCATTTGGAGAGTGACCAAAAGAGAGAGAGAGAGAGAGAGAGAGAGAGAGAGAGAATGAATAAGAGTATATACGCTAAGTTGGAAATGCGTAGTACTAGTGGCCACAGGCACTGAGATGCCAAGTGTGGTCGGGAAAGTCTGAGAGAGAAGATGGGACTTAAGGTGCGCTCTGAAGGAAGAATCTAACTAAAATTGGCAAAACAGATGCGGAAGAGCACTTCTGATTGGGGTCTTGGCAAGAACGGGACGACAGTGAGACAAACTGCACATGATGCCGGTGATGGCACAGAGGCCAACGTGAGTGGCAAGGAGTACTGTGACAGTAAGGCGGAAAGGCAGGGGGCAAATACACATGAACACTAGCCCTCAAATGTACCAAACATAGCTCTTCTGAGCTTAGGGAAAACCAGGAAAGAACGAAAGTGAGGAGAAGGAATAACCAATAGAAGTTACTTACATTTACGAGTAGGGCAACGAGCTCAGCTACTGGGCACTTGCCAGTCTCTATCATAATGTGTTTGGTTTGAGCCCTTCTCCACTGACTGTGAGTCTGTGAGGGAGGTCAGGCCTCCACACCAGCGCTCCGTGGGCCAGAGAGCCCGCTATGGCACCGATGCAGTGGGATGCCCACAGGAATGAATGCTAAGAAGATGGACCATATTTTATTTCTATCTTGAGCTAGGTATTAATAGGGCTAGTAAAAATTCCAGAATCATCAGCAATAAAAAGGAACCACTCACTCACTGATGTACACAGCACCTTAGATGGAGCTCAAGGACATTACTCTTAGTAAAAAATGCCAATCTCCAAAAGTTAGGTACTGGGTATTCCATTTATACAACATTTCAAAATGACAAAACACAGAGATGAGGAACAGAGGAGATATTGCCTGGGGACAGGGCTGCAGGAGCATGGTGTGTGTGGGGGGGATGGGTAGCGGGGAGGTGTGGGGAGGTTTGCCAATGGGGCAGGAAGAGAGAGTGTCTCTGTGGAGACAGAACAGCTCTGTATCTTGACTATGCTGGTGGTTCCATGAATCTCTAGACAGATTCAACTGCACAGACACATCCATGCACACACACCTCTCAATGCACACAGAACCTCGTTAGAACTGAGCAAGGTCAGCAGTCCAGTTCACCAGTCTGGTTTACCATACTGTACCCATGTCGACTGCTCACTTGAAAACTGTACTACAGTTAGTAAGACATCACAAATGGGGAAAGCTGGGGGAGATGTCACAGGGCTTTATTATTTTTGCAACCACTCGTGAGTCTATAGTTATTTTAAAATAGAAAGATTTTAAAAAATAAAAATCTTTTAAGAACTGGACACAAAATTTTTCAACAATCAAAAACTATTAAAGCCACTTAGAGTTTCTATGTAAATGACCAATTCAAATTTGTATCTGAAATCAACAAAATGGTGAAACTTGAAATTATACATTTTAAGGATTTTAAAATAAAAACTTATTTGTAACTCTAAAGAAAATTATAAAAAGTAAGCCCTAAAAGAACTTTAATTTCAAAATATTTTATCCCTTCTAAAATTGTTTTTAAGACACTGGTTTATGCAGCAGCTTACCTTTTTCAGTTATGTTAACTAAAATAGTTGATTCTGATCGACCCAGAGGATTGTGAGCATTCAAAGTAAAATTATATATTTCTTGATTTGGATGCATTTGAAAGAATAACTGATAGCTTTCATTTGTTGGCGCTTCAACTCTTTTAAATCTAACATATTTCCCCGAAAAACTGAATTAGAAGAAGAAGAAATATTAAAATCATTTCAAAACGGCAAGAGAGATAAATACTTCAGGAAAAAATAAATGGGTAAATTTCTAATAATTAATCTTTTTTAAAAGTTTGTATTTCTAATTCCAGATGCACTACATACTTGGCTAGGAAATTGTGTCTGATTCAGAAAATAGACGAAAATCACCAGCCAGAAGCCTACTATCTAAAACAGTCCCTGTTCGTATTTGAGGGTTCTTCTAGGATTTTTAAAAAAGGCACATGAATCTAGTCTGTGTGCATGTCATTTGCAGTATTAATGGTATATCCAATTTTATACAGCGTACTGAGTTTTTATTTTATTCATAACAGAAATGAGATACCACATTTCCCTGTGTCATTTAATACCCTCCAGGGTACTCCCTGCCATCTGACATCTTTCCCTGGTGAGTTTTACCTTTCAAATAAAGTGTAACTCGTATTGCGTGGGCCCACCAATGCGGTTGGTCTTCCTGGATTCCAAGTACAGACAATCTCTTTTAAATCAGAGGTCTCACAATTCAGTTTTTGAGGAGTATCAGGTGGATCTAACAGGAAAAAAATGCAGTTACTTAGTGGTTACATACATTTTCCCTGAAAACATGTTTCACAAATGTTAATTACATTTTGTACAATTTCCTCTGGAAATGAAATAACGTATTTACATTTGACCTTCTGAACAACGCAGCACTGCCATGCTTTCTGTAGCATGTTTTTCTGGAGTCCATATTATGTCAGAAATGATGAAATACTAAATGTATTTAGTATGTAGAAATGTAGAAATACTAAAATGTACTGCTTAATGACAACTAGCTCATTTGGAAACGCCCCAAGAGCAACCTGAACACATTCTTTCCCCCTCAAATCCCACCAAATCTCTCAAAAGAAGCTGTAGCCAATAAATCAAAAAAATCTACAGGGTGAAAGTAGTATTATCTATCATGTCTATACCGTGATTTGAAAAGAAGTACCAATTCAAATCACAGGTCAGCACAAGCCACATTCCAAGTTTCAGAGTTCTTAAATGAGTTACAATGACTATTATCTGCAAAGCATCTCTTGGTAAAATCCTGCATCTTCCTCATGTTCAAAGTGACTACAGCTCTTTTGTTTTTGTTCTTGACTGCAACATTCCCTCTGATTTTGCAGGGAGAAAACTAAATAAAAGAAAAACTTTTGGGGTTTTTCTGTGTGTCTTAGACTTTTAAAGTAATAATGGAAAATTCTTCAGTTAGACACTAATTACAGAAACTGTTATTTCCGATTTCATGTTTAATTAAACATACATAGAAACGGGTGTTCTCTGTTACATTTATCTAAATTATCTTTCATTAAATAAGATTTTTTTTTTAGATTTTATTTATTTATTTGACAGAGAGAGATCACAAGTAGGCAGAGAGGCAGGCAGAGAGAGAGAGGAGGAAGCAGGCTCCCTGCCAAGCAAAGAGCCCGACGCAGGACTCGATCCCAGGACCCTGGGATCATGACCTGAGCCGAAAGCAGCGGCTTAAGCCACTGAGCCACCCAGGCTCCCTTAAATAAGATTTTTTAAAAACGATTATCTACTTGTTGAAAAATTCTGTAAAATAATTTAGTTTTTTAAAAAACTAAACTTTAAGGGGTGCCTGGGTGGCTCAGTCAAAGCGTCCGCCTTCTGCTCAGGTGATTGTCTTGGGGTCCTGGGATCGAGCACCGTCAGGCTCTCTGCTCGGCGGGGAGCCTGCTTCCCTCTCTCTCTTCCTGCCTCTGCCTCCTTGTGATCTCTGTCAAATAAATAAAATCTTTAAAAACAAAAAACAAACAAACAACCCCCCCCAAAAAAAACAAAAACAAAAAAACTGAACTTTAAAAACTAATTCTTAGGGGCACCTGGGTGGCTGAGTGGGTTAAAGACTCTGCCTTCGGCTCAGGTCATGGGATCGAGCCCCACATCAGGCTCTCTGCTCAGCGGGGAGCCTGCTTCCCTTCCTCTCTCTGCCTGCCTCTCTGTCTACTTGTAATCTCTGCCTGTCAAATAAATAAATAAAATCTTTAAAAAAATAAAAATAAATAAAAATAAAAACTGTTCTTAGACTGTTTTAGAGACTTAAAAGGGCACAGAAAATTTCACATAGCTTCCTAAGGTAGAATCATGTCCGTCAATAACATTTTAGGTAATATTAAGAGAAGTCATGAGTATTTAAAGTCTAACAACTGCATAATCAGATAACACTGACATACTTGTTTAAAAAATTGTTCTAAATCTAAGGCTAAACTTTCATTTTATTAAAATGACATACTAGATTTTTTAGTATAATCCTGAGTATTATAGTATGTAGCAGATGTGTTTAGTTAAAACCCAAATAACAGAAGCAATTAGAAAGAAGTGGAAGCAAAGATGCAGGGAGAAAAAAATATGACAAAGCTGTATTTGAAAGGGAATGTACTGACTGTCTTCTCAAAGAACTAACAAGGGAATCAGCTAAAGCTGGATAAAAACTAGGTATAATCAACTGTATAACCAGCAAATAGAAAATGCAATTTTTTAAAAAAGCCATTTTTTATTAAAGTATTTCCAAATGAGAAAGTATGAAATTTGACTGGTGACATAAAATATTTACATGCTCTAATTCTATGTCACAGTGTCACAGTGTAGTATTTTGAAGTTTTTGAGTATGATGAAAGATTAATACTTAGGTATCATGCTGAAGTGACACTATCTATGAAAATAGTGATTACTGAACACATAGTATTTATAAAAGATTTTGCCTATAACTAAATCAGTTCATGCATAAACACTGACAAGTACTGGATAAATAACTATTCTGTCTGCTGGATAATACATGAATTTGCAATCACAGTAATAAACTGAAGAGGAAAAAAGCTACTCTAATACTAGCACTGAACATCAAATTCTTAGTGATAAACTTACTGAAAGATATGTAAGACCACCTATCACTGACATAAATCAAAGAAGAGCTAACTAAATGAAAAGATATACATGTTCCTGATTTGGGTAACTCAGTACAATGAGAATGAAAATTCTCCTAAGTGGTCTCCTAAATTAATAAATCTAATGCAACTCAAATCAAAATCCTGTCAGGTTTTGATTGTGTCTTTTCAATATATGGAGGGTTAACAGGATGTGCGTAAGGAAAAGAAAATAATGACTCTTAATCCCTAACTCATGCCATGAACTGCCCTTGCTGTTAAGTTCCTAAAGAAATCCCTCTGCAGGGAAATTCTACTTCTGCTTTTGAGTTAACAAATACTCAATTTTTCAACCCCCAAATGCTATAAATGAAGGTTAAATTATGAATTAAACAGGCCTGTTCTACTATTATGGTAGAAGAGTAGCACACTATTGGAAAAACTTGATGTATAACCTGATGTATAACAAAAACTTGATGTGTAACTTGATGTATAACAAAAACGATGTATAGTCTCTTCAGAGTTTTAGTTTTTGTCTTTTGTATTTTTAGGTGGATATCTCACTTCTTGGTATCAGTTATCACTCCATATACCACTGGTTCTGAACTTATATTCCATGGTCATTTGTAAGGAACACTCCCAAGTCCCTTCCTAAAATTCCTTTAGGAAAAAAATTTTCTAAAGTTTAAATCTGAACATAATCTCACTCTCACTTCAATTCCAAAATGCATTACTGGGAAGACAAAAAGTTAGTAAGGGTAGAGCCATCAAACAGAAGTGCATCTAATCCTGGTTATGCCCTTGAGACTGTATCAGCCATGCAATATAATTCATCCCAAGTTTCACTGGAAGGAAAAGAGAGGTGAAGAATCCAAAAAAGAGTAAGAAGAACCACCACACGATCAAAAGAAAATCGCAAAACCCACTCACACTACATTCCACACACTCTGATCATGAGACCCTTTAGACCAAATTCAGCCTCTTACTCCGCATTCCAGGGAGGAACGGGCAAGGCCATCAGTGCGCCACATGACAGTTACCATGGGAGAGGGGACAGAAACCCTTGAAACACAAAAATCTCTGTGGATATTCAACACAAGCTATGTAAAAAGGGCAGTCTCTCACAACAACTTCTGGAAATATCATGGAATTTTAGAACTGTAGCAATGACCATATTAATAAAGAAGCCCTTGTACTCTGAAGCATATGTTACACACAGAACATGCCTGGCCTCTAAGGACCCTCTTCTTCTCAGATGTATTACTTTAGAAGTTAGAGAAGCATATACTACAGTACTGAAAGAGTTTGTGTAAAATCATTACAGTTCCATTAACTGGGGGGAAAAAAAAAGCATGTTTTAGTTTTAAAAAGGTATTTCTGCATTAGGTGGGATGCTTTACAATTTTAATTTTAAAAGGTGCGTTTTAGGTAGGAAATTGACTTTTGAGTAGGCCCCTGAACACAGGGTTCAGGGGTACTGACCTCCCATGAAAGTCAAAAATCTACATACAGGGCAAATGGTTCACTCTGTCCAAAGAGCATGCAACTCTAGATCTCTGGGTTGTGAGTCTGAGCCCCACGCTGGGTGTAGAGATTACTAAAACAAACTTTAAAAAAAAAAAAAAAAATTTTCCATAGAACTCCTAACTCCCCCAGAACTTAACTCCTCGTAGTTTACTACTGACTAGAAGCCTGACCTACAACATAGACAATTCATTAACACATATTTTGTATGTTGTATGTATTATTTACAATAAAGTAAGGTACAGAAAATGTTAAGAAAATTGTAAGAGAAAATGCATGTAAAGTACTGTACTGTAGTTACTGAAAAAAATCCACGTAGGGATGCCTGGGTGGCTCAATCAGTTAACTGTGTGATGCATGTCCTCATCGCTCGTGAGATTGAGCCCTATGCCAGAAGTCTGCTTGAAGGTTCTGTTCCTCTGCCCCTCCCCCCCACCTCTTGCACACGGGTTCTCTAAATAAATAAATCTTAAAAAAAAAATACATGCATAAGCAGACCCATGCAATTTGAACTTTTTTTGTTCAAGAGTCAACTATGTATGAAATAATTCCTAAGCAATGTAGGACTAAGAAATATATAAAAACTATCCTTGACTCAACAAAACTGTTAAGTAAGAACTTAAAACTAAGCAGCTGGGTGTTTCCAATCTTATCACACAAGCTACATAAATACAAATATATAGGAAATGAACTTAGAATGCATCATAAAACAGGCGAAAATTTTGGTGTCTTCATATTAAAAAAAAAAAAAAAGACTGCCCAGTCCCCAGAAATAGCATTAAAGTTTTTAAAGAGGAGCAAAACAGATCAACAGGAACTCTTTAATATTAAATACTTACATCCTGCGAAAATAACAGTCCCAAATATGTTATCTTCTGTTGTAAAAACCACATTTGTTCCACTATTAGCAGAAACAGAAATATTACGGATCTTGATCGCCACATTTTCCCCATCAAGATGGATAAGGGGACAATTTGTTTGGCCAATCTGTGCTGATAACACTTTTTCTTGAGTCACACAACAAAATATTATATCTGAGCCTACAAGTATCACTTTGTCTTGAGGAAAAACCTTAGTCTGGGAATCAGGTGACCCTAGAGAGAACAAAAGGAATCACAAATATTTTATAAGTCTTTTACCATAAAAATAGCCCGGTATATATAAAATATACTATAAAGTGTTTTATAGTAATGGTGGCCCAAAGGAGCTTTCAAAGGATCAAGACATATATAAATAAAACGAAACCATGTATGTTTTATCGACTTATGGCTGATGATGGGGGGAACAGAGGGGACTGCAGGCCGATGCCCAAGGTCACAGGTTAGTATCCAAGAAGTCTGAAAGTTCACTCTAAATGGGCTTATAGCTACATGTGAAAAATCTACACCAAGAAAAAGTCATTCATTACATAATTCTATTCCTTTGAAATCACTTCTATGTATTTAGGGAAGACTTCTTACTTTCCATCAGCCAGAATATGTATTTAAGTACTCCCATCCTAAACAGCACTTTTTCTTTAACCCCAACTCTGTGCAGGTTAAAGCCACACCTCTGCTTTTATTTTCCTGTATGTCCAATTTTATCATTATCTCTAGTTTTCTTTCTACCTACCACTATTTAATCTACCACAATCTGGCTTCTAGCCCAATCATTCTACTGAAGTGGCTCACTGACCTCTTTGCTCAGTCCAGTGGCCACTTCTCAGCCACCCTTCCTTCCCACATCGACAGCATCAGTAAGTTGCCTAAGTTCTAACATCTCAAAACTCCCTTCTCCTCTTGGGTTCTACAGCGCCCTACTCTCCTGGGCTACTCTGAACCCTCTGGCTACTGTCCTCCACTTTGCTGCCTCTTTTTTCTTCCGTCCTACCCTTAGACAGTACAAGCTTAAGGCATGTGTCCCTGGTCCCCATTTCTCTTTCCCTGAGTATGGTAACCTCTAGATTGAAACAAGTTCGCATACATCTATGTTGATGACTCTCAGATATGTATCTCCGGCTCCTAGTAATCCCTTGGATACCAAACTGGTATTTCCCACGGCCTGAGACATCCCTACCCAGATACTTCACAATACCTCAAGCTCAACATGTTAAAAATGAATTTATCTTTCCCACCAGAGTTATTCATGTATTTCCTGTCTCAGTGGAAGGCATCACCAGCCACTCAGCTGCCCAAACTAATAGTCATCTTTGACTCTATTTCTTGGTCACCAAATACACAGTCAACTAATTTTAATTCTGTCCCTTCAGTGTTTTCACACCTTTTCCACCTTTTCATTTCCAGACCGAAGTACCCTACTTTATGCTTCCACTGTCTTTTGCTGAACCACAACAAGATCCTTCTTGCTTATCCACGTGCTTCCAGTCCTGCCTTCCTCTGATCCATTTCTCCATGCGGTCACTAGAGTGGATAATCTATAACGATAATCAGCCTTTCGAAGGACTTCATTTCACTGTCAACTATTTTCCAGGCCTCTCTCATGTCGCCAACATTCTACCTGCATATGAATTTCATTCAATGTACAGATGATTTCAGGTATCCTTACAGATCATGTTCTCCGCAATTAATTCTTTAGCTCACAGGGATCTGTTCTGTGGGCAAGAAACTAGAAGCCATTTTTTTTTAAATACAGATTTTATCTCAATTACACCTACATAAAATTTTTAAATGTTCTTCAATGCCTACCACAGTGATTTTCAAACCTGGATGGTTATGTAATCACTTTGGAAGATCTTTAAAAATACAGATTCCTGAATCCTAACTCAAGAGTTTTTTAATCAAAATGTTCTGGGACAGAGATCTGGGAGATCCCCAGGTGACCCTCATGAAGCCAAATGGCATTTGGAGAACTGAAAGCTTAACCGATACCTTACCCTTAAGCAAGACTAATCTCGTTCATTTGAAACGAAAGCTTTTTAAACAGAAGCTTACAAGAAACGTTCTTCAGTGGGCTCCAGTCACTCCACTCTTTGCGACCAGAGAAATGAAGATCATCAACATAGCACCTAATTCCCACAGAATGAGTGGTGCACTCCAAGGGCATGTCTGAGGTCCAACTCCAGTGGTGAATTGTATCTTTACCATTCACAGTTGTGTTGTGGGTCACCTAAAAAATGAACACAAACACAAAATGAGATTTCTAAGTAGTGATATGTTCTGCTTCCCTTAGATTTAAAGAACACACAATAGACAGTATACAACCACTAAGCTATAAAGGCTCGCCTTTTTGTACAACTATCTCAGTTTTCTATTAGGTGTAAAAGGAGAGTTATGGAGACAATAATCATGATTCATTTGTTTACCTATTTTTTGTAAAATTCCAGTATAGTTAACATACAGTGTACTATTAGCCTCAGGTGTACGACATAATGACCCACATTTGCATACACCAGTGTTCGTTGTGACTGGTCCACCTTCCTCAGCTTGAGGCTCCGCTCCCTGATATACAGGATGTTAATACTCCAGAACATTCAATACAGTTCAGAGAGAAATGAACCATTGCCAAAACTGATCTCAATTTTTCGTCGAGAAAAAGTAATTAATGGATTTGTACTCCCAAGAATTAAAGTCAAAGAAAGGAGCAGCATTTCAACAAAGTAACTGTTTCAGATTAGGTTTTATATGTGTTAACTGTTTAAAACTTTATTTTTAAATATGCAGCTTATAACAGGATAAAATATTAATCTCAACTGTGAAAAATGGAAGGATTTCAATCAAATATCAAGGATCTACTAAAAGAAACCTTGGGAGCTCCAGCTAAAGACAAGAGATTAAATAACTGTACTTCCTTCTCTCTTCTGAAATCTTTCTAAAACAAAAGTACACAGATTTTTTTTTTTTAAGGCATAGATGCACAGAGCCAAAAAAAAAAAAAAAAAAGAAGAAGAAGAAGAAGAAGAAGAAGAAACAGTATCAATGAATTTCTGGATCCTGGAGAGCTGATGGACAATAGTAATGGATTCTAAAGACCTGAAAATGCTGAATCTTAAGCCCCCAATGGAAAACACTGAAACAACCTGATTTCTATCACAGAAATGCCAAAGGGCTCAGGAAGAGGCTGTACCAGGCTCCCCTGGAAGTGCATGGTGAAGGTGAGGCACTGAACAGAAGACTGCTTGAAAGCTTTTCAAAGAGACATTAGACACCCAGAGATCCCTCCCACATTCTATGCTACTGAAAGACCACCCTTCTTCATCTTGGCAGAATGGAGATTTATGATCTGAAAAGTAAAACAGAACACCTCTGGAATGAAGAACCTCAGAAAGAGTGGAGAACGGGGAATACTGTACCAAAAACAAGGGACTTGCTAACCTATGCACCAGGAAGGCTGGGGTGCTCATGCCTCCTTCTCCTACTCAGCCCCCAGGATACAGATGGCAGAGTTGCTACTTACAAGGCAGGGATCTGAATCGATTTTTCTGGGGCATATGAACAGGTCATGATAAAAATCTAAAAGAATAATATTAAGGTTGTGCCAACTTGATAGGCCATTTTAATCACCTATGATGAAGCCCCAGTCATCTAAAGTCCCTGGATGACACATAAAAGTTCCAATTAGATTTTAAAAGAAGGTTAAGAGCCACTCAAATATGAGCAGCAACCAGGATGACCAGAAATTGGAGAAAAAGTTCTAGTATCAGAGTTAAAGATAAAATAAGAAAGGAACTCAAAGAAACTGACTCTGCTAAAAGAAAAAAAAAAATAACTGCTATCCTTAGAGATGAGATACTGCATCCATAAAATGAACAAAAAGAAGAGACAAATGGGATCTCGTGTACATTAAAAAAAATTTATTAATAAAAAATACAAAAAATTCAATAGCAGGAATGCAAGATAATGTTTAAGAAAACTGTTAAGAAAACAGAGCAAAATAACATTACAGATGGAAAGTGGAAACAATTAAGAACATTAGAGGACCAGCCTAGAAGGTCCAATTTCTGAAGAAAAGAGTTTCTAAGGAAAAAAAAAAAAAAAAAAGAGGAGAAAACAGTTATGAAGGAATCAAAGCCATAAGACCTACAATAAGGAGATTCCCCAAGCTGAGAAACATGTGTTTTCAGACTGAAAGGGACCCAATGACTGTCTAGTACAACAAAGAAAGATAGATCCACAAGAAGAAACAAATGGAACAGTGTCTTCCAAATCTTGAGAAAATCCCCTAACCTACAATTCTATACCCAGCTAAAGTAGAAATCATGAGTGAGTACAAAATAGACACTTTCAGAAATGTCATGTCTTAATTAATTCATCAGGCAGTATTTTACACTCCCATCAGAAATGTATGAAAGTTCCAATTCTTCTGGATCTTCTCAAGATTTGTAATCAACAGTCTTAAAAATTTTGCTGGCAACCAATTTAAATTTAAAAAATAGTGTATCTGCAAGCTACCATTAAAGACAGCAGATAGTATCGACAATACATAGCAAATACCTACTAGAACATATGCTTCCACCAAAATGAGGAAGAGGAAAAAATTTTTTAAAAAGGGGATCCACTACAAGACAGGGCACCTGGGTGGCTCAGTGGGTTATAAAAAAGGGGGACCCATTGCAAGAAAAGGTAAAAGGAATCCCCTAGATGATGATGGAGATCCCTTGGACAACAACTTCCTAAGAAATGTGCCAAAAAAACCCACAGAGGTTTATCCTAAATGACTTGTGAGTATACTTAGGTGCTGCAGCTCCTGAGAAACCTCTGGCCACAAGGGTCCTCAGCTTTCTACCACACTCCTGCTACACAAACACTGTACCTGTGTGAACCCTATGTAAGCAGGATTGAGAAGTCAGTCAGAAGGCCTTCGAGAGAGCTATTCACAAACATACAGCTGATAAAATACTAGTGTGTCTGAACACTTCAGCAGGAGATTACAAAGGATTAAATTAATGGGGCACAAAAATTAAACTGAAAATACAAGACATGACAAGAAGTTGTACTTCTGAAAAGGAAAATAGTAGTATATGCTGCTTGGTTTAGCTGTGGATAGTGTTTATATAACTGTAACACAAATAATGAATGCCTGTCTGCCACACATTACCACAGTGTAATAGAACAATACTGGAAAAAGGATGGGAAATGAGAGAGAGAGACAGAGAGAGAGACAGGGACAGAGAGTGAGTGAGCACTCCAGCATGCACATGTGTGCTCCCAGGCCAGGTGGTGACAGGACGAAATTCTCATCTCCGACTGTTAAAATAAAACATTGTTCGAAACTATAAAGAAAAATTAAGGAAGAACAACATAAGCATGCTACCCGGACAACAGAAATACGTCACAGAAGAATCAGCTAGAAGAACTGAAACCTGCTGTTTACTGGAAAAGTAAAATGGGAGGGGCTGGAGGTGCGGCAGAGATCCCAGGTATCACAACCACCCTGGTCCCCATAGCACCCAGCTTCCGTACCCATATGTGAGGCCAAGAGCAGAAACCATCATGTTCTAATTGAAACACCAATGTACAGTATTCTTTATTCTTACACAACCACAAAATAGTATCGAAGTGACAAGGCATAAGCAGCTCTGCCTCAAATGATATCGATAACATATAAAAAGAAAGGTCACATTTTACTACAGATCTGCATCACTTGCCCTCTCACGTTTTACTTTTAAAAAATTCATTTGGTCTATCTGTTTCTCTGGCCTCTTGGCTGTATTTCCCCGCACAAAGATTTTTCTTCAAAGATCGGATCCTACTCTGCCGTTGCCATCTTGTGATGCATCTTGTGGCAATGAGTTAATAGGACCCTGAAAACGAAATTCCATTCCCTTACGCTGGATTTCACTTATACTTCAAAAAGTAGCCCCCAAAGGAAATACTGACAACTAGTAGGCATTCAGCAGCTTTACAGGTACCGTTATCATTTACTGAGGTAGATACTTGGCACCATTTTACAAATGAGAAAAAGGAGGTTTTGGGAAGTTACCCAAAGCCAATAATAGGTAACTCACCCAGCACAAAATGTCAGCCACATAAAGAGTTACACGGTCCAATTTTAGATAAGCAATAGTTTCAAGACAACAAGGTAGAGCTCTATCAAAGCTACTTGCAAATTAGGCTGACAGGAAAGAACTGCCATTACAACTCAAGAAAAGAAAGAGCATTTTAGGCTGAGGTAATTAGGATGGGCTTTAAAATGAGGGGTAGGATTTGACTCAAGTCTTGAAGTATACATCAATTAGCACAGGTGCAAAGGAAGGAAAGGTATCTTACACAAAAATAAACATATCTATTTTGTAACAGAAACTGCAGTGGTTAAGAAAGAGCACAGACTGTAACTCTGGGTCCTGGCTCCACTACTTCCTGTCTTCCTGCTTCTCTGCAGCTTCATCTCGAAAATGGAGGTGATGCTGATGGTGCCTCCCTCAGGGGTCCGTGGTGAGGATGCAGAGAACCACACATGGAGCATTTAGAGCACTGTCAGCAGCAACACGGACGCACCAACGCCCGAAGCTACAGCTATGGCCGCCGCTAACTTAGGAAGCTAATACACACAGAGTCAGAAAGGAACACCATGACAAGCACCATGAACTAGAGAGTTAATTCTTTATCTTTACAATCTAGCTTATCTATGTACTTAGGCAAATAATGTAAAATATGAGCTAGTCTTCTAAGTCTTTAATCTATAACTAAGCATATTCAAATCCACTGAGGAAAAAAGGACAAAAGAGGGAATTCCCACACACCCACTGTCAAAACTTTTCACTATTATTCCTCATTCTCCTTCAGATTAAGAGGAAACTAAAGATAGATTATATAAGGAAACCATTTACCAACAAAATTCTAAAAAGAGGGAAAAAAAAGTATGTATTATTAAATGTAAAACCGTTATTTCAGATTCAGATAAATTCAACCTTAAAATTTCTCAACAATTACTATAACTAGGTTTCAAACACTTTTATGTTTATAGTATTAGCCAAAATTAAATAGTACATTTTATGTATACATTTATTTCATTTACATAAAAACATGCACATAAAAAAGCTGGAAACACAAAAATAACATTTACTGTGGTCAAGTGGTAGAATCATGGATTATTCCTCCCTTAATTTCCTAAATTTACTATAATTAATGTTATATGTTATTTTAAGTTATACATTATTTTAGTATGTGATTTGAGTAATAGCACATAGTTTTTAATGAACCTGAAAGGATATCTGATCTATACCCTTAACAATGTAAGAGTTCACTGATATCACCTTAAAATCTTTTAAAAATTACTTGGCTTCTTTAATGTCACAGGAAAAAAAAATCTATTTTGGTTTAAACTTACTAATTTTACGACTTCCTTATTTTCTTTACGTAGAATTTTAATTTCCCAGATGACATTTAAGTGATGTGGAAAAACAGAACCCCTGTCATTCCACTTTAGGTGTAATGTGGAAGTTGAGAAATCAGCAGACAAATTCAAGATCTCTGGAGTGTCCGGAATTAAAGCTTCAAAAAAGAAAACAAAAAACACGACTTAGTAAAATAAGTAATTATTTTTCATATTGTAATTCCATTAATCAACTACTTTTAAACTCCATTCCTTCTTGACCAAAAATGATCGAGAACAAAACACAAGCTCCTGGGGCACCTGGGTGGCAGAGGTGGTTAAGCATGCGACCCTTGATTGTGACTCAGGTTGTGACAGGGTTGTGAGACTGAGCCCCACATCCAGCTCTATGCTGGTCATGGAGCCTGCTTAAGATTCTGTCTCCTTCCACCCCTCCCTCTGTCCTGTTCATGCTCTCGGCAGGGGGGGGGGCAAATTCTCAAAGCATGCTGAAAAAAGTGAATATACATATTTATTTGCATAAGCAGTTCCCAATGATTCAACTGTCAAATCTGAGAAAATTATCAAATCCTAGTATGTCTTCTAATACAAACAACCACCACATTCCCACAAAACTCTAGTGTCATCAGTCTGGAATCTGTTAAGGAGGCAACATCAGAGAGAAGTAAAGGAGCTTCCTCTGTATGACTGTGCCTTAGGCCTAAGAAAATGACAGAATATGGAAAGCCTGTTCTCGTAGAGCTTTCTGTCTGTTTTTTTCTGCAGCCTTCCCACTCACCTGGCGGTGTCAGAGCCCCTGATGCTGGCGGAAGTGACCCACTTTGGGATGCTATGAGCCATTACTGGTTTGGGGAGCTGTGAACTGCAGCAAGACCATAGAAATGACCAAGGCACTGACTGGGGGAGCCAACAGGGTACTGTGCAGATGTGGGCAATACTCCGCAGGGCAAGAAAGTCCTCCAGAAAGGCTAGGTGAGCTGTTGGCATGCAGTGCAGTGCAGGGGGCTGAGAGAGAGAAGGTGGTTCAGTTGGAGACCACTGGGGAAAGGCTGACCAAAGCAGCAAGGACAGAGATCATGAAGCATTGTCATGTTCATGAGGGATAGGGAAAAGGAAAACAACTCTGATGGGCATTTCAAAGAAATGACCAGATCAAAGAAATGAAGGATTAGTATAGTAAGAAAGGGAAACATCTAAGATTTCCTCAAGTTTCCACCCTAGAAAGCAGGCAAAGGAATCACAGACACTGTGAAGAAATAATAGAGACAGGCTATGGGTGACCAAGTGTCAGGGAGGGACAGAGAGAGGTTTAGTGAGTGGAGGGGTCTGCCGACAGCGAGGGAGAATGGGGCCCATCAACACCATGGACAGACTCAAGAGGAACTCTCTGAGTGCAGCTGAAGACTGCAACTGACAGACTTGAACTCAGGACTCAAAGGGGCCAAAGCTTGCCTGAGAGCGGAGAGCTACCAACAGTCACACCTTCGAGTCACCAGAGAACCCCAGCAAGAATCCTGAGAAACAGAAGGAAACCAGAGAAGGCCCAGCACGGCTGAGACTAAAAGAAATGGATTGTCATTTAGGCCAAATCAGAGAGGAAGAGTGAGAAAAGGCCACCAGCATTGGGGAGGGTATGGTCATTGGTGGGAAATACAAAAGGTAAAGAAAAAAAAACAAGCAAAAAAAAAAACATGCTCAAGGATACAGTAGCTCACAGACAGAAAATGGTAAATTAAAAAAAAAAAAAAAAAGGCAGAGAAAGTAAAGTATTCTTTAAAATCTCCAAGTCTCCCTATCTACAGGGGATGGGTAAATTACTCCAATAGTTTGGATCAATGAAAAACATGTAAGGTGTGACCCTGTTCCATTGTATGAGACACAGGCTTTGTGGTATGACAGGCAGACAACGCGGGGACTCTGTTTTCCACGTTCTGACTCTTCCAATCCCAGTAAGTGAACCAGAGATGTCCAGAGACGTGCACCCCTGGGCCACCCCTACCCCAGCACTGCCCTGTGCAGCACAAGGGCAGCTCAGAGGAGTCCCGGCAAGCCCAGACTGCAGGACTTCATAGAGCTGGGCTGGCTGAGTGTGCTAAGCAACAAAAATGGCAGAGCAAACCAACATAAATTAGTCTTGAAATTTAAAAATAAGTTCTTGCGACACCTGGGTGGCTCAGTCGGTTAAGCCACTGCCTTTGGCTCAAGTCATGATCCCAGGGTCCTAAAATATATGTATCTATAATATATATATATATAAATTTGTATTTACTTATTTACATATATTTACACACACACACACACACACACACACACACGGAACCCGTGTCTGACTCCTTGCTCAGCAGGGAGCCTGCCTGTCTCTGCCCGCTTGTGCTCTCTCTCTGAAAAATAAATAAAATCTTTAAAAAAAAAAAAAAGGGGGTTCTTCATAAATTTAACTAAGATGTGCTGACCACGGCACTCTACACTGGATCTGTATAAAATACTTACAACTGCACAGGAAATCGGACCTGTGGCTTCAAAACCTAAGCACCATACAGCAAAGTCAATGGCTCTATAGCTACAGAAGGACAGTGGGGGATGCCTCACAGGACAGATTTCAAGTGGGAGGGGCCACTGCATCACACACCAGAAACTTGTGTAACAAATGCTGCATGTTAACTAACTGGAATTAAAATAAAAACTTAAACAAAACAAACCAAAAAAAAAAAAAAAAAAAAAAACCAGAAGGAACAAAAAGGAGGATCAAGAAGCTGTCTTGGTACCAGGAGAGGGAAAGCTGAAGGTGCCAGCGCGACCACGGAGCAGAGGCTTTGAAGAACACAGTTCTTTCAAATGCTTCAGGCTGTCATGATATAAGAACTTCAAAATTATGTTTTGAGCACTTACAAGTACGGGAGCACTTACATGAAGGCAATATTCATCTATTATTAAATGCTCCCTCCCTGGAAAGTACACGTAATTTACATTTTATCTCAACAGAAGTGGGCTCTTCTTTAAAACACAAGTCATAGCCAATATTTAAGGTAAAAGACAGTAACAATCACAATTACACAAATGAAAGGATTACACACACACACACACACACACACACACACACACATTTTCCACTACTTCATAGTACACTTCCTCACAATAAAATGGGAAGTTTCTCTAAGATCGCATGAACTATTATTTGCATTTCTTTCCAGCTAAAATAGACACTTGAGGACAGTATTAACTTGCTTTCTAGAAGATAGGAACTTTTCAGCTGGGAAATAAGTCTAATCACTTGTGTTTGTTTATTTTTTAAGGCTGGTACATCTTTACCCATAACCTCCATGTTCTGCTTAAACATCAGAGGATGGGAGCTTTCCCAGCTCATTTATAGGATCCACATTATGATTTTGTCTCAGCCAGATCCATATTTTCAGGTTATTTTAAGAAACTTAAACACTTAAGTCTTACGAAGACTTATTTTTGTGTTTGCCCTTGTCAATTAGAAGCGTATTACGTATATGTGCGTATATTAAATACTTTGCTTTATATGCATGGTGTTGACAGCATCTGGAGAAAACATTAATTTCTCATACTTTTCTTCGGTAGCGAACTGCCAGAAAACCCAGATCCTCTAACGTACAGGTACAGTACCCTTTCCTTGCTTCTCCCCAACACGGTAGGTACTCGAAGATCTGCTGATGCATCCACCTCCCTTTTATATTCATCTAGTTGCTTTTCAATTTTCTTATCAGTATTATCATAATAGTAATAGTGATATCTTATTACTTGGATACTGTTAATCTAATATTCTAATCAGAATCAGACTCAATAGTATTAAAACTGCTATCAACAAATTACATAATTTTGTAAAAAACACAAGGAACTACTCATCTATTAAGTCATCTAGCATCTGTCTTGATTTGTCCTTCTAATTCTTTCTGTCAAACACTATCATCTTCAAGTAACTTCCCTGCCAGAACCTTCTCCTCACCTCTTGAAAAATCAGACAACACAAACTGGCTCTCAGAGTCCTGGGGAATTTTTTAAAAACCTGGAATAAAATTAAGTTAGATTCCTTATACCATACTACAAAATAATTCCAGATGGGTAAAAGATTTAAATTGAGCATGGTAACAAAACCAAAAGCTCAAAGAAAAAGAGTGGAAGATTCTATTTATATAAAAGTGAAATCCATGAAGTTTAAATTTTAAACTCAGAAAATTATTTGTAGCAAATATGACAGAATTAATAACCATAATATAGAGAGCTCTTGTGAACCAATGAGGGAAAGGCCGAGGTTCAACACAAGATAAAACTGAGAAAGGATATAGACCAGAAAGAATAAAAACGACTGGTAACTTTTTTAAAATAAGTAATCACAAAACAATCTGCAAAAACAAAGTGCTATAACTGGGGGGCCATCAGACTGAAATGGCAAAACTAAGAGAAATGGACAACACCCAGTCTTGGCAAGAAGTAAAGAATAGGGTGTCCCTCTAATAGGATGTTTGTGGAAATGCAAAGAGACTCCAAATTTTTAGAAAACAACTGGCAATGGGTATCAAAAGTTCTAACAAGGGGATTCCCAATTTTAGGAATTTAGCCTAATGAAATCATCACACAAATCAGAAACATACATGTGCAAAACATGCTCATTAAAGCATTGGTTATAATACTGAAAAACCAGAAATAAAAATCTCAATGTTAATTATCAATCACGTAACATAATTATGGCATTCAATGGGATACTATGCAGCCTATAAAAATAATACAAATTTAGATAACAAACTGAAAAATCTGTGTCTTCTGTTAAGCAGGTTATAAAGTAATATAAACCTTACTGTTTATATGTACATGCAAAGAGAATATATTTAAGTGTTTTAACAGTATTGCTCTGTGGGTATTGAGATCATGGCTGACCTGCACAAAACGTTCTCACATGGATCGCACATTCAGCTGTAGGAAGAAAATAACCAACATGGCTCCTCTCTCTTTATCTTGAAAGGCAGTGAGACAGATGCGAAGTTCCTGGAAAGCTTGCTTTGTTATTATCCTTTCAGAATCTGTTCTATCTCAGACACAGACCACTCCAAACAGGCATCTTATCCATGAAATTGGACAGGTCACCAAGTTAATTATATTTTTTCCCCTGTTTCAAAGTAAGTCATCCTTGTAAGTCTCATTATAATGTCATTATGCCGTGCCATGATAGTTGTCAGGAGAGAATAAACCCACCTCCCCCACCAGGGAGAGTCAAGGCTCCTGGGGTTTCTAAGGTCTCACTGTGTAGCCAAATCTCCATCTCCATCAGCCTGGGCCTAGTTCATGACTCCACTCAGCCTGTTACCTAGGTCATAGGCACTGAATCAACACCTCTGTAAAAGATGCCTTGTCACATGTAAGTCAGTGGCTAGGCGCTAGGTGTAGAAGAGAAACTTCCTGTCCTACTGAACCTATTCTCTTGCAGAAGTGACCACTTAAGTGCCTTATCACATAATACATTAGTAATGCAACTGTGAGAAAATGCCACAAAGGAGAAGACACATTGCCCAAGGGAATGTTAAGAAAGGAACGGGGTCTCCTCTGGGAGGGCAGGGTCAAAGACTACTTCCTACAGCAAGGGACACCTGAAAAATTCTGTAAGGTATGCAGGAATCAATGAGACGAACAGGTGACGAGAAAGTAGCCAAATGTGGAAAGGATCGTGAATTCTGTGACATCTACTCTGATTGACTAGACGACAGTCTGCTTCCTTCCCAATCTTGGCTGTGCTCTAGAAGCCACACTATGGTTGCTGGGGAAAAGCAAACATTAGTCTAACAAGTGAAATTCAAAAGAAGAGTAAATTTCTGCCCATTTTATAAAGCACTGCAATGCTAAGCACAAAGGCACTGTGCTGAGTTCTTTTATCCTTTTTTTTCCCCTAAAGATTTTATTTATTAATATCTGAGAGAGACTGAAAGCAAGAGAGAACACAGAGGAAGAGGGGGAAGTAGAGTCACCACGAGCAGTGAGCCCGATGAGGGGCTCCATCCCAGGTCCCTGAGATTGTGACCTGAGCCGAAGGCAGACGCTTAACCCACTGAGCCACCCAGGTGAACCCGTGCCAAGTTATTTTCAAGTCAATTTTCTTTTCAAATACTTACAAACATTTTTTTCATTTAGTGTGAATTTACTTATAAGATTTCCAAAATCATACAGACGGTTTATTGTTATTTCATGATCACCAGGTGGAAGAGCAGGGATCTTAGTATTTGTCTTCTCTGACTGATAACAAGAATGAGACCTGCAATAGGAAAAAAAAAATCCAATTTTAATTAGTGGATAAAACCAACAGTGCAATTTTCACAGAAACACGACTAACAGAAAATGTGCTGGAAAATACTTTGTTCTTTCATACAAAAACACAATAGGTTATACTGCCTTTTAAGACGGAAAAAGGGGAGGTCGATATAAGTCCATCAATGTGGAGGATGAATAACCAGACTATACCAGAAAGCCGAGTGATAAGCAGGGATGATTATTTCAAGAAACTCGGGATTTTGTCATGCCCTTCATACTTCCCCAACCTTCCCTCTGCAGCCTTACCTAGCGCCGCACATGCCCACCCCACTACAGCCCTGCACTTCTATACAAGACCATCACGCGGTCTCAGGTGCTCCTGAGAAGAGTTCATTTCTGCCCATTTTATAAAGCACTGCAATGCTAAGCACAAAGGCACTGTGCTGAATTCTTTTATCTTTTTTTTTCCCTAAAGATTTTATGTATTAATATCTGAGAGAGACTGAAAGCAAGAGAGAACACAGAGGAAGAGGGGGAAGCAGAGTCACCACGAGCAGTGAGCCCGATGAGGGGCTCCATCCCAGGTCCCTGAGATTGTGACCTGAGCCAAAGGCAGACGCTTAACCCACTGAGCCACCCAGGCGACCAGGTACTGGTCACACATACAAGTGTGCCCAGGTGCTCCACAGGTACTGAGGACAGGCACGAAACTGGCTGCTTGTGGCCCCGCAGACACACACCTCAGTCTGTCGGCTGCTTTCTGTTCTGGCCCAAGTTTCAATGGGAACAACACCTTCTCTTCCACTCTGCTTTCAAAACTCTGCCAGTTCCCCACCCATTATCCCTTCAGCGAAAGTTGTTTTTTTCCCCTCCTTGGTTCCATGGTCTTTTACATTCACATTTACATTATTTTTATGGCTATTCATCCATATATATATGTTTTTTTTTTTTAAATCCACATTTCTAATATCCCATATAAATCTGAGTTCAAGAAGAGGTACTCTGTAGTGTCTTGGGTGACCCTGCCCAGCACCCCACACAGACCTCTTCATGTTCTTTACTCAGGAGTCCCGACTTAACCAGGGCGGCTCCCCTCCTGTACGCTCAAAGAGGGAGGCTTCCTTAGCTGCCAGTAACACAAAAGCCCTGGAATTCACTAAATCATGCTATTTCATACATTATGTTCTTTCAGGCTTTTTGTCCTTTTTCTGAGAAACTAGGTCTTCACACTCCACAATCACACTTTGGACAGCCTCTCTGAAGGCCCACACCGCTCAGTCAACGTGCCCTTCACCTATAATTTCCATCAGCGCCCACAGTGATTTGTTTCTTGTGAACTCCTGGAGAGCCAGAACAGCTTCCTCTCTCTGTGGCATAAGGTAGTCATTCATGCTATTTACCAAATTTTTCAGGTTCTCCCCTTCTGGATTCACAGCAGGGCTATACTTCCGACTCCTTAAAAGCAAGGCAGGTGGTAGGGCTTTATTTGCAGAGACATGTGAGTGAAAGTCCTATCTGTCCCTTCCAGAAGGAAGCTCTGGAAGCCAGCATAGGCTGTGCTCCCTCTCCTCCTGTCTCCATGCACTGGAGGGTGAGGGACCCCCTACTGGTTTGGGGTTCCCAAGGAGAGCCTGGGGGCAGAGATGCCAGCCGACCCAAGGAGGACACTGAACACAAGCAGGAAATAATCCTTTATTTTCACAGCAGAAAATAAGAAAATAAGATTTTAGGGCTACTTTTACAACATAACTAACTCCTCCTGGTTGACAAATATACCACAAAGCTTAGACTCACGCTCACTGAACCGATACCAAATGGGAAGACAACACCTGAGTAATATTTAAATGCACACTTAGGACCATTTACATAAGGGCCACCCATCGGCAAAACGGGACTTGGAGCTGCCCTGCTGAACAACACTGATGTTGCTGAACCATTCAGAGTCCCGCTAGCATCAGGGAAAGGGAAAAGAATATTCCCATTTGCAGAGAGCCCAAATGCCTCATCTCTAGGCTTCAGAGCTCCTGGCCCTCTCCAAGATTACCTGAGAGGGGAAGGTGGGGTGACAGAACCAGTCAGCTGGCCTCCTAACGTCCTTTCCCCTTTCCCTTAGTAACATGAACTCAAGGTTTATCCAGGCACATTGCCCCGCCTCTTATGCAAATAGGCTTCATCATGTGACTATATTCTGCCAATGAGATGTAAGCAGAGGTGTGTGGGACTCCTTGGAGGTCTCCCTAAAGAAAAGCATCCTTTTCCGCACTTTCTGGAATGCAGACAGGACAGCCACTCCTCAAGCATCCTTGAACCAGGAGATCGCATGCTAATGCTGCACAGCAGCACGATAAAGAGGGACCTGGGTCTCTCATCCACAACCGTGCCAGCCTTGAACTGCCTACTCCAGACCGAACATTTTCTGTTGGGCAGAGTCAGAACAAGAACCCACCTGATCTAGACCTATGGTTTGGGACAGACTAGTAAAACTTCCCTACAGTAGATGAGAATCCAGAGCATATGAGAGGGGTGTCCTACACTTAATATTCAGATAACACAATAATCAGTTTCGGCTGGGAGAAGGGTTTTTTCCATCCTGACTGATGTAAGATTCAGATTTTTTAGGGAACAGAGAGCTAAGATTTAAAATTTCATTAAAAAATTTCCAAAATAAAATCTCTATGCTCTAATACTAAAGACCTTTAGGTTACAGCTCTTCATTTCTCTTACCTGTTCTCAATGCAAACTTCATAAACAGTACCATGGCCTGCTCCAGAGGGTGCTTTCCAAGAACAGTCCCACACCCGCAAATTGTTAGTTACACACTTCAAATCACGAGGCGCCCCTGGAGAAGGAGAAACACACACACACACGTTTAATAATTTAACTGCACCATGAAAGGCCAACGTATCAAACCGTCTTCAGCCCTGAGTATGAGCACCTGTGTCTGCACAGGGCCCATGTTCTTCATGTAGGGATGAGCCTGCAGTCACAGATGGACTAGTTTTCTATTTGTTTGTAGCTGTCGATTAAAAAATGAAGGAAACCAAAGGAAGTGAGCCAACCACTAGACTACCTAGGGACTGAGCCTCCATCGAAGTCCCAACTTCAGCCACTAAGATAAACGGAGGAGTCAAGGATGAGACCCGAAGAGGGCCTGGAAGAATTTTATCTTCAACAGCCCCATGTGCCCCCATTCCTCCCTGCAAATAAAGTAACTCTAAGTAAAAATTACATGTTTCCCATGCCCACAAATACAGCTTCTAAGCACTCCTAGCCACTGCCGCCCCACTGCATGTTACCAGAATGCTACCTCGTAGAAACCCCACAGCCAATCTTTAATTTTCTACGAAGCAGAGGTGCCTGGGTGGCTCAGTCAGTTAAGAACCCCCCCCCCCACCCCCTACCCCCCCGGCTTGTCTCTGGAGTCCTGGGATCTAGCCCTAGGTTAGGCTCTCTGCTCAGCAGGGAGTCTGCCTCTCCCTCTCCCCATCTTGCTCTCAAGTAAGTAAGATCTTTAAAAATGTTTATGAAGCATATTATATTTAAAAAGTAATGAACTCACACAAGTCTCTGAAAAGTATTTTTTTGTGTAACCCTAAGCAACTGAAGAGTAACTCAGTTGTTAACTCAGAATATAACTCAGAATATTATAATCCTATTATAATCCAATAGTATTTATTCATACCTATGAAAGAATACTGTGAAAGAATACACTGGCACCACACAATGAAAAGCTTGTCATGTTAGAATGAAAAGAAAGGAGGTGGTACCAAGTAAGAGGGAGAACAAAAGGAAAAAGGAAGGAGGAGAGAGAAGGAGGAGGAAATAAAGTAATCAGAGTATAAAAAACATTATTCCATCTCAGACCTTCTCTGTTAATGCCTCTGAAAAGGTTTTTTTAATTTTTACACGACTGACATGACATTTATGGTAGCAATAAATTATAAAGGTACTTATATGTGACAGAAAACAAAAACAAAAACATTAGAAGCACTCACATTAAAAATCATCATAACGATACTTAAGTTATTTAACAGTGATCTCGGGGGAAAAGAGGCTATCTGTTTAATTATGGAAATAATACAAAAACTAAATACAGGGGCAGAAGGATGATAACGTTCTTTATAGGAATGAGCTAGGGAATAACATCTACACAAACATTCTTAATATATTTAAGGAAGATGAATACAACGTATTATTAAAGAGATTTAGATTTCATTTATATGACATTCAGAAAAGCAAAATTATAGACAGCAGGTCAGTGCTGGCTGGAGGCAGGGAGGAGAAAAGAGCTGAGTACAGAGGAGCATGGGGAATTTTCTGGAATGGGGAGTGTTCTGTTATTTAGTGCTGGTGGTCACATGACTACACATTTGTCAAAACTCGCAGAATTTTATCCCAAAAGGGTGAACTGTACTGTATGTAAATTATACCTTAATTTTTTTTTTCTGGGGAAAGACTATTTAGGTCTGTCTTTACAAGCCTCTTTTTAAGAGAGAAGGAATAGGAATACATAGGGAAAAAAATGACGATAGAGAAATGGATTTTAACCACAGAAAACCTGAAGGGGTCAATAAAGACACAAGATCACCTCATAATCAAAATAATAATGGCAAAAAATAGCAATGGCATTGCAATCAGTTCATTCTCTAAGACTCAGATGCACTTACCTTTTTTCTGGCTATTTACTTGGTTCATTAAATATAGGAGAGTAAATGTTAATAAGAGCCACTGGAAATGTGATGTCATCCCCATTCTTTTACTATCCATCATCCAGGAGGGTCTTCTTAAATGTGAGGAAAGGTTCATCATCTGTGCAAAGCAGTCAGTCCTGGACGAGGAGAAGAATTTCAAAATGCTGCAGACACACCTCTTGGGCTGCGCACAGCACCACAGACAGTGGATACTGACGGATACTGACATGTACTGTACGTTAGTAACTTTGCAGACTAACTAGACTCAAGCTGCCTTGGCTTTGAGAGATGTCAATAATCGAACACAGCTGTAGCTTCTGTGATCCATCACAGCGTCAGTTTTCAAATGGCAGGCCTCAAGTTCAAAATTATAACCAAACAATGTATTTCTCAACTCTCCATTCCAATACTACTACTACACTGTAGAAAAGCAGTACATGAAACTGAAGTTTTGACGATTTTCAATTATCTATGGAATGACATTTTTAAGTTCAATTAATATAGTCACTTATGACAAGTAGTACCTTTCTTTCCATTTACACTATGATGTGAAGTTTCTATTGCATATAAGAAAAAATCAGGTTAAATAACAGTATAGGGAGTTCACAGATGTGGCCAAAACAGTGCCCAATACACACAAATGACTAGGATGTAACAAATATTACAACTATAATGGGAAAGGGACCACTGGTAGACAAGAGATGTCCACTCCTACAGACGAGCAGGGACTGAAGCCAGTGTGCCATGGGGGAAGGGATGCCATGTAGGCAGGAGCTGTTCAGCCTAAGAGCTCGAAGGACACTTGTCAGCAAATGACCAGAGACAGACTACCAAGTGTGAACCTCACTGGAGGTTCACACTGAACCAAAGTCCCAGCCCTCAGGGAGCCTGGAATCTAGCTGGGAAATACATATACATAAACAACTAAGAAATTTAAGATTTTTTTTTTTTAAGATTTTATTTATTTATTTGACAGACAGAGACAGTGAGAGAGGGAATACAAGGAGAGGGAGCAGAAGAGGGAGAAGCAGGCTCCTGCTAAGCAGGGAGGCTTATGCGGGGCTCAATCCCAGCACCCTGGGATCATGCCCTGAGCTGAAGGCAGACGCTTAACGAATGAGCCACCCAGGGGCCCCTCCACTGTTGTTGTCATCAAGGGGAAATCCATGATCTGATCTGCACTTTGGGAAGATTTCTCTAGCTGCTACATGGAGGTGGACTCCAGGGGAAGAATAGAGGTAGGGAAACCAGAGCCAGGTGAGACCACCAGTGATGAGGACTAGGGTTCTAAGAGCAGACATGGAAGAGACAGTCAGATTCAGCATCTGTTCTAGAGATGGGAGGGTCTTCCCACTGTGCTAGAGGCAGGATAGTGTGGTGATTTAAGAACATGGACTGGACATCTGACCTCTATACATGTTTTTGACTACTGTGGACATTGCTGCTGTAAACACTGGGGTAGCATGTGCCCCTTCAAATTACTATTTTTGTATCATTTGGATAAATACCTAGTAGTACAATTGCTGTGTCATAGGGTAACTCTATTTTTAACTTTCTGAGGAACCTCCATGCTGTTTTCCAGAGTGACTATACCAGTTTGCATTCCTGCCAACAACCCCTGAACTAGAGGGTATAATGCTAAGCAAAATAAGTCAGGCAGAGAAAGACAAATACCATATGGCTTCACTCACTGTGTGGAATTTAAGAAATAAGACACATTAGCACAGAGTAAGGAAAAGAAAAATAAAGTAAGATAAAAACAGAGAGGGAGGCAAACCATAGGAGACTTAACTATAAGGAAAAAACTGAGGGTTGCTAAAAAGGTGGGAGGGCTGGGCTAAATGGGTGATGAGCATTGGGGAGGGCACTTGTTACAATGAGCACTGGGTGTACATGCAACAGTTCCATCACTAAATTCTACCCCTGAAACCAATAATGCAATATATGTTAACGAACTTGAATTTAAATAAAAATCTAAACAAAACAAAAAAATGGACTGGGGCTGAATCCTAGCTCTGCTAATTATATGGCCTTAACTTCCCTGTGTCTCAATGTCTTCATGGGTGAAGTGGGGATAAGAACTGTATTTTCCGTAAGTTTGTTGTAAACATTAAAAGAGTAAATGTGTAAGGCACTTAGCAGAGTGCCGCACATGTACTAGGTGGTGTAAGTGTATTTAGTGTGTTGTGGGAGATTTAGGGAGAGGAGAGGAAGCAAAGATGGCTATGGATTTGGTGGAAACACACCAACGGATGGCGGGTGGTGCCATATAAATGCTCTCTAGGTACACAGAGGCGGCGGCAGTGATTTACTGCTCAAAGGCTGTTTACAGACCGTCTGTTTATATCAGAGATCTGTTTAAGGACCTCAACCTTGACATGTTCCTACTCCTGAAATGGAGACATCCTCTATAGAATGTGAAAGAACTGCCCAGGATTTGAGAGCAGCTAACAAAGACACGGATGTCCAAGAGGAAAGGCTTCCACATCTGACACTGAGGGATTCCTCAGAGCAATGATGCCCCCACTCTCGCTGAACGAGGCCACCAGCTGACAAGTCCTCCCAATGCACTGAGAACTCCGTGTCAGACTTAGCAGGGCCTTGTTTTTATGCTGGAACAGACAACAAAGGATCATAAAACAGACAAGCCAAGCTTAAAACAATAAAAACAAATTCAGAACAAACAGGATCCCTAGAAGGAAAATAAAAATTACTCCCAGAGAGAATAGGGATAATGTAGAAAAGAGGAAAACTAAAAAAACAGGAAAACCACCTCCGAAAAGACTCTCAAAGTGAACACAGCATAGCCATAAAAACTAGAAGAGGATGAGGACGCCTGGGTAGCTAGCTCAGCTGGCTGAGTGTCTGCCTTGGGCTTAGGTCATAATCCCAGTGTCCCTGGATGGAGAGCTCTTGAGTCAGGCTCCCTGCTCAGCAGGAGAGCCTACTTCTTCCACCTCTCCTTCTGCCACTCCCCCTGCTTACACTCTCTCTTTCAAATAAATAAATAAAATTTTTTTATACAAAACATAAACATGTTTTGTTAAGTACAATTTCATATTTATAACATTTAAGATTACAATTGTGATTAGATATTTAGGATACATAATATATTCTTAAAATATATAAGTTATATACAGACATTAAAAACTCAGTCTCCAAAATACTCAATAAAGATGTCTGGATGACACTTATAAAACTGACCTGTTTTTTTAAAAAACAAAACAAAACAAAACAAAAAAAAAAAAAAACAACTAAAAGAGGATTCAACAAAAAAGGAATAATGAGAAATAAAAATAACTCTTACAAGTTAAATGTATTGGCCAGTATTAAAAATTTTTTAAAGACAGATAAAACATTGAGCTATCTTTCAGGGGGAAAAAAGAGACAAAAACAGAACATGTGGAAGAGATGTTAAGAACAGGGACTTAATATTGGAAAAAAGATCCAACATCTTAACAACTGGAGCCCACAAGGATAATTCAGAAAACACTTTTCTTAGCAAAAGCAGACGGCAAGACCTCCTCTTGGCTATTGCTGAGTACGGTCAAAAACTCAGGAGAGGGGGCACCTGGGTGGCTCAGTCGTTAAGCGTCTGCCTTCGGCTCAGGTCACGATCCGGGATTCTGGGATCGAGCCCCGCATCAGGCTCCCGGCTTGGTGGGAAGCCTGCTTCTCCCTCTCTCACTCCCCCTGCTTGTGTTCCCTCTCTCGCTGTGTCTCTCTGTCAGATAAATAAATACAATATTTAAAAAAAAAAAAAAAAAAAACTCAGGAGAGAAATCTCGAGTAGCTGACAGAACTATAACCCAAACAGGCACGTATTTCCAAAAGCGTTCAACTATTTGCTGGCCGAATGACTCCCTAGTCATTCCCAATGTCATTGAGCTTACACAGTAGAATGAAAATGTATTCACAATGCCAGTTGCGAAAGTTATAGAATTCCGTGGCATGTGCAGGAATAAATGAATAAAGGAGCCCCAATCATGACCAAACCGGAATAGAAACCATCACAAACCATATTCACTGGCTGAACATCCTCCTGAAATGAAACCAGCCCCTCACTACAGGTTTGCACTTGTTCCAGGAAAGAGATGTGTCCCACATGAAGTGGCAGGGCAGGTCCGGAGGCCGTGGAGCTCTGGACCAGGTCCTGGGGACACGGACTCTCATCCTGGCTCCAGGGCTACAGAGCAGCGTGACTGAGGCAAATCCCTCAATCCCTCCCGCCCTCAGGCTCAGGAGTGAGGGCAGAGGCCACTTCTGCTCAGGGTCCACAGGAGAAACTTCGCAGAGTTAAGGTGTTAATACTGCACTCCGCTGACAGGCGAGGAGCAAGCAGACAGACTGACACAAGGTCAGAGCCAGCGGCGGGTGCCAATCAAGGACACCACTGAGAAGGTCAGCGAGGGACAGACAGGGTGTGGGGTGTGCTCGGGGACAGCAGGACCAGTGCTCCTGTCACCAACATCTGCTTAACTGAACACAGGCAGGATGTAAAGAAAACTCTCTTCTGTCGTTAACATTTATGTAGAAAATGGTAAGTGTGTCACTTAAGTCATACAATATTATGCTTGCGATCGATCTGACTTCTCTGCTAAGCAAAAATTTCGAGTGGACTCACTTGAGGCCAGGACAGTACAGGAACAGAATGTTCTAAAATACTTTAAGGGAAAAAGGACCAATGAACCTTGTCTCTGCTCCCTTCGAATAGAAACATTGCCAGAATTTACTCTTTTCCCCACTGACGCCTTATTCCTAGAGGAGCACACATTTTTAGAGAGTTTCTGAAATTAGGATCATAGTCACTTGCTGCAGCTGTAGAGGGCAAATCCAAGTATCTGGAAGGCAGAACGAGACCAACTCTGCCCACAGGTGATGCAAACCGGCGCTCGTCAGCCTCACCTAGAGGGGGCAGCAGTGGGCCTCGTTTTGCCAGATTTTTCTGATTTTTCAAGTTAAAGTAGAAACCTGGGAATTTCTATGAAACCCTCAAATTTTTATTTAAGGAACGAATTTGTAGTTTTTAAATATTCTAAAAGCCAAACAAAATAGATCTTCTGACTGTATCCCACCCACGGGCCACTGGTCTGTATCCTATGCAATATAATTATGGTAAAGGATTAAAAAAAAGTCA